GTCTGTCTGTCTGTCTGTCTGTCTGTCTGTCTGTCTGTCTGTCTGTCTGTCTGTCTGTCTGTCTGTCTGTCTGTCTGTCTGTCTGTCTGTCTGTCTGTCTGTCTGTCTGTCTGTCTGTCTGTCTGTCTGTCTGTCTGTCTGTCTGTCTGTCTGTCTGTCTGTCTGTCTGTCTGTCTGTCTGTCTGTCTGTCTGTCTGTCTGTCTGTCTGTCTGTCTGTCTGTCTGTCTGTCTGTCTGTCTGTCTGTCTGTCTGTCTGTCTGTCTGTCTGTCTGTCTGTCTGTCTGTCTGTCTGTCTGTCTGTCTGTCTGTCTGTCTGTCTGTCTGTCTGTCTGTCTGTCTGTCTGTCTGATGCTAAAAAAAACTAAAAAAGCTAATCAATGTTTCCTATATAAAGCTCTAGTTTTCCGCTCTTCCGCTCTCTTATATACTCAATTACGTCATTCTTTTGTCTATACGGTTCTATTTAAAAATGTAATGTGAGAAAGTTTAGGGGAGATCACTCCAGTTTTATTTTATTTGAATGAAATAATAGCAATCCAATTAAGACCTTGATGATACTTTTAAAAATGATGAATAGTTTGTGTGTGTGTGTGGGGGGGGGGGGGGGTAGTTTACGTCTTTGCTCACTGTCAAGATGTTTTTGCCCAATCAGTACCACAGAGAAATGAGCAGACCAAAATGGTTTTTTTTAAAAAATAGTTTGGAGTGATAACGGCGAACTCGACAGGAGTTGTGTTAATGTGTGGCTCAGTTTTTATTGGGGCAGCCTGGCATGAAACGATTACATCTCGATAATCATTCTCCAGAGTTCTATCGTATTTTCAGACATTATGGGGAATTATGCTGGCTTTTGATTTATGTAAAAACAGAAAATTGATGTTTTTTCGAATTAGACGGTTTGAGACCAACACCATATATATAAATAAGTAAATATATATATATATATATATATATAATTTTCTACATAAAATCATGACTCGGTATTTTTAAGCTTTAGATTAAAATCTCAAAAACATATCAAATTACCTGCATTTATTATTAAACGAGAGTTCAGGTTACTCGAAAGCTTTAGGAAATCGAACAATTCTGGTTTTCTTTTGAGTCAAGAAATAAGTGCCAGACTGTGAGTACACACTGTATCACATGGTGAGTACATCCTCTCTGTACCCCCGTCGTTAGCTGCGGTGTGCTCCATGTGCAACAGTTAATGTCACAAAAATATCGTTATGCTAGATAAATAAGTACAAATATACATATGCATATTATATAGTTCACTTGTAAATCTGATTCCAATCAATAACTATATCATCGAAATAAACTAAACTATAAAAGCGATTTAAAAAATACAACTTTCTAGACAATAAAAATAGTATATGCTTGGAATGAATATCTATTGGAAACTGCAAATATCGAACCAGCGCTAACATAATCCTTATGACATAAGCTCAGTCACATTTCATACCGCATCCTCGCCTTAAAGTCATCTTGTCGAAGTCAACTTTTACAGGCTCACTGTAAAAAACAACCAGTCAGCGATAGCAATGGGTATACTGTGGTAATTAAATGTTATAGTGTGGTAATTGTTATTGTGTGGTAATTGTTATAGTGTGATAATTGTTATTGTGTGGTAATTGTTATTGTGTGGTAATTGTTATAGTGTGATAATTGTTATTGTGTGGTAATTTTTATAGTGTGATAATTGTTATTGTGTGGTAATTGGTATAGTGTGGTAATTGTTATAGTGTGGTTATTGTTATAGTGTGGTAATTGTTATTGTGTGGTTATTGTTAAATTGTGGTAATGGTTATAGTGTGGTAATTGTTATAGTGTGGTAATTGGTATAGTGTGGTGATCGTTATAGTGTGGGGATTGTTGTAGTGTGGGGATTGTTATAGTTGTGTGGTAATTGTTATAGTGTGGTAATTGGTATAGTGTGGTGATTGTTATAGTATGGTAGAGAGGGAGAAGGGAGATGGGGTGGATGGGGGGTAGATGAGTGGTACAAACAACCTGACATTGACTCTACAAACTTGCCGTTGCTAAAAAATTAATTATGCATGACATGCGCGGAGTCCCAGTGCGCCACAGGAAGCAGACGAAGCTGTGACGTATTTGCTCGCGAACTGTGGGCGGCGAGTTTGACCAGCGGAAGGTTTAACTCTCGTCTGCGTGAGTTGAACGTTGGATTGAGTCCCTTAGCTTTCACTCGTTCTTGCGTCCTAAGTGGCGAATAATCAGCATTAGTGTCAGCAGTTGTTTTGTCGGTGGTTCAAACCTTTTGACAAGTGATTTAATATTCAAGTAGCTATCTGTCTGGTGAGTTCAGTGAAACAAGTTTCTTGCTTGATATTCATGTCAAACAAATTTATTCACACAAACACACACACACACACACACACACATATATATATATATATATATATATATATATATATATATATATATATATATATATATATATATATATATATATATATATATATAAATATATATATATATATATATATATATATATAAATTTATTTATTTATTTATATATAAATAAATACTGATATAGATTACATATTCTGTATATATATATATTTATATATATATATATATATATATATATATATATATATATATATATATTTATTTATTTATTTATTTATTTTATATATATATATATATATATATATATATATATATATATATATATATATATATATATATATATATATATATATATATATATATATATATACATACATTTCTGGTTGGCTGAGATCCTTTGTAATTTTTTTATTTGGCTTTTAGTTTGTTATATTGCTTCTGGCATCTTTCCTCTTCGTTGATTCCTGATGTTCTGTTCACAATTTTTCTTCTCTTTCTGTGTTGTCTTCCATGATTTGTATTTACTTGTGACTTGTGTGATGTGTATTGCCTGTTCAATGGTTTCTCTTGTTATGTGGACTTTTTATTTGGCTGGGTACATTAGATGGCCACCAAAAATGATTGGGTGGGGGGGGGGGGGGTGAGGGTGACTGATTTCTTATTGGCCAACCCTCTCACACGTAGAAAGATATTTCCCCCCTTTGATTAATTTGATCGCGTGTGTATATTGCATCTATTTTGTTTGCTTGTAACGTTTTCTGAATGATCGGAGAGGGTTAAGCAAACCGATTCGTTTATTCTTGAGAGTTGGGTAAGCTTCGTGATCTGGATAAACAGCGGTGATAGGTGCACTTAGTTGACCTCAATAGGTGCACTTAGTTGACCTCAATAGGTCACTTGGTTGACTTCACTAGGTCACTTGGTTGACCTCACTAGGTGCACTTAGTTGACCTCACTAGGTCACTTGGTTGACCTCACTAGGTGCACTTAGTTGACTTCACTAGGTCACTTAGTTGACCTCACTAGATCACTTGGTTGACCTCACTAGGTGCACTTAGTTTACCTCACTGGGTGCACTTAGTTGACTTCACTAGGTCACTTGGTTGACCTCACTAGGTCACTTGGTTGACCTCACTAGGTCACTTGGTTGACCTCACTAGGTGCACTTAGTTGACCTCACTAGGTCACTTGGTTCACCTCACTAGGTGCACTTAGTTGACTTCACTAGGTCACTTGGTTGACCTCACTAGGTCACTTAGTTGACTTCACTAGGTCACTTGGTTGACCTCACTAGGTGCACTTAGTTTACCTCACTAGGTCACTTGGTTGACTTCACTAGGTGCACTTAGTTTATCTCACTAGGTCACTTGGTTGACCTCACTAGGTCACTTGGTTGACCTCACTAGGTCACTTGGTTGACCTCACTAGGTGCACTTAGTTGACCTCACTGGGTGCACTTAGTTGACCTCAATAGGTGCACTTAGTTGACCTCACAAATTTCGGCTCAGTCCGATAGAGTCGCCCCAAAAGGGCTTCTGCCAATCTGGGAATCGATCTAGCATGAGTGAGCGGAAAGTCATTTTGCTGTCCGGACAAACGGCTCGTTAGCGGGCCGGAAATAGAATTATCTATCCGGTACTGCTGTTTGCCGGAAATAGAATTATCTATCCGGTACTGCTGTTTGCCGGAAATAGAATTATCTATCCGGTACTGCTGTTTGCCGGAAATAGAATTATCTATCCGGTACTGCTGTTTGCTATTTGCTGGAAATTTAAAATTGTTGCTACTTCATAGGCCTGTGTGTGTGTGTGTGAGGGGGGGTGGGGGGGGGGGGTTAGGTGTGTGTGTGTATTCTTTGGACGCGCGTGTGAGTGCTTGTGTATGCGTATGTCTAGTATAAAGCACCATCATTATCTCATATAAAATATCTCCACTTTTCTCTCACATTATATCCCTCTTTCCCTCCCTCTCTCTCCCCTTCTCTCCCCCTCTCTCCCTCACTCTCTCTCCCTCTCTCCCTCCCTCTCCCCCTCTCTCCCTCACTCTCTCTCCCTCTCTCTCTCCCCCTCTCTCCCTCTGGTACCACTAGTCTCTAAACTTTAAAATTTTCCTGCAGGCGATACAGCCGTGAGCCTAAGCCCTGAGCCTAAACCCTGAGATAACCCTGAGGTCAAGACACAGCCAACTTTTTGTGCAGCAGCAGATAAGTGGCTGGGTCACTTGAAGCACCCCTAGCTCACCGATATACAAAGCACCCCCAGCTCACGGATACACAAACAGATTACGGCAAGCATCGCCCCATTTCCTGCCTGTAACAGTTTCACGGCGGCTAATCAAGGCGGCACATATCAGAAGCCACGAGCATCAAGGCTGTCTTTATCTAACATCAAGGGTGTGTTTATCTATTCACCACCACCATCCAAGACGAACTTATCCATTGACCACTGCCATTAAGGACGAATATATCCAATATCCACGAATATCACAGACACATTTATCCACTGACTCAAGACATCCCAGCAACTAAACGAACCAGAAATGTAAACTAGGTCTGGTCAGTAATATGAATGTTAACATGAGCGTCCACACACACAGACCTGACCACGCCCCTGTCCTGAATGTTAATATGAGTGTCCACACACACTGGGCAGACCACGCCCCTGTCCCAGCGGCCATCCACTTCACCATCGGACTTTTTATAACGGTCATCGGTCTGGCGGCGGTGTGCGGGAATATTCTTGTCATACTCACGTGCGTCAGGTGAGTACTGCTTTCATTTTATTGACGCCTGTCTCACCATATAACGCCTGTCTCACCATTTGACGTCTGTCTCACCACTTGGCGCCTTTCTCACCACTTGACGTCTGTCTCACCACTTGACGCCTGTCTCACCATTTGACGTCTGTCTCACCACTTGGCGCCTTTCTCACCACTTGACGCCTGTCTCACCACTTGGCGCCTGTCTCACCACTTGACGTCTGTCTCACCACTTAACGTCTGTCTCACCACTTTACGCCTTTCTCACCACTTGACGCCTGTCTCACCACTGGACGTCTGTCTCACCACTTGACGCCTGTCTCACCATTTGGCGCCTGTCTCACCACTTGACGCCTTTCTCAACACTTGACGCCTTTCTCATCACTTGAAGTCTGTCTCACCACTTGACTCCTGTCTCACCACTGGACGTCTGTCTCACCACTTGACGCCTGTCTCACCATATAACGCCTGTCTCACCATTTGACGCCTGTCTCACCATTTGACCCCTGTCTCACCATTTGACCCCTGTCTCACCACTTGACGCCTGTCTCACCACTTGATCTCTGTCTCACCATTTGACGCCTGTCTCACCATTTGACGTCTGTCTCACCACTTGACGCCTGTCTCACCACTGGACGTCTGTCTCACCACTTGACGCCTGTCTCACCACTTGACGTCTGTCTCACCACTTGACGCCTGTCTCACCACAGGACGCCTGTCTCACCACTGGACGTCTGTCTCACCACTTGACGCCTGTCTCACCACTTGACGCCTTTCTCAACACTTGACGCCTTTCTCATCACTTGACGTCTGTCTCACCACTTGACTCCTGTCTCACCACTGGACGTCTGTCTCACCACTTGACGCCTGTCTCACCATATAACGCCTGTCTCACCATTTGACGCCTGTCTCACCATTTGACCCCTGTCTCACCATTTGACCCCTGTCTCACCACTTGACGCCTGTCTCACCACTTGATCTCTGTCTCACCATTTGACGCCTGTCTCACCATTTGACGTGTGTCTCACCACTTGACGCCTGTCTCACCACTGGACGTCTGTCTCACCACTTGACGCCTGTCTCACCACTTGACGTCTGTCTCACCACTTGACGCCTGTCTCACCACTGGACGTCTGTCTCACCACTTGACGCATGTCTCACCATATAACGCCTGTCTCACCATTTGACCCCAGTCTCACCATTTGACCCCTGTCTCACCACTTGACGCCTGTCTCACCACTTGATCTCTGTCTCACCATTTGACGCCTGTCTCACCATTTGACGTCTGTCTCACCATTTGACGCCTGTCTCACCATTTGACGTCTGTCTCACCACTTGACGCCTGTCCCACCATTTGACGCCTGTCTCACCATCTGACGCCTGTCTCACCATCTGACGCCTGTCTCACCACTGGACGCCTTTCCCACCACTGACGCCTGTCTCACCATCTGACGCCTGTCTCACCACTTGACGTCTGTCTCACCACTTGACGCCTGTCCCACCATTTGACGCCTGTCTCACCATCTGACGCCTGTCTCACCATCTGACGCCTGTCTCACCACTGGACGCCTTTCCCACCACTGACGCCTGTCTCACCATCTGACGCCTGTCTCACCACTTGACGCCTGTCTCACCATTTGACGCCTGTCTCACCACTGACGTCTGTTATCCCCAGGTTCAAGGACCTCAGGACACGCTCCAACATCCTGATCATCAACCTGGCCATAGGTGACCTCTTCATGTGCTCCGTCGACTTCCCACTGCTCGCTCTGGCCAGCTTCTACCAGACTTGGCCATTCGGCTCCAAAGGTAAGCCAGTCACGTGTCCAGTTTATTTTTAGCTTCCGTCTTCTGATTGGCTCTTTCATTAAAGTGTAGCGATGAAAGCGAGCACATTAGACGTGGAAGTTTTAGACGGTAGTTGCCAGACGTTTTCCTGCAGCCATTTGCCCGAGCTGACCGGAAGTTCTAGAAACGCGCTAATCCAACCAATTAAGTCTTATTGTTGCCATTTAATCCGAGCATGGTTCTCCCGCTAATGACATGGCCTTTAGCTAGACCACTGCCAGACACATTTACTGTGGACATAATGAGCTCATGTCTGCGGCGTTTCGTCAGGTATATACATATATATATATATATATTTATATATATATATATATATATATATATATATATATATATATATATATGGTTCCCAGAAAGATGCGCACCGGAAAAAAAAGCGCAACGGAAAAAAAGTGAAAATAAAATGCGCAACGAAAAAAAAAGAGCAAACAGAAAAAAGCTCGAACATAAAAAAGAACACTCAGAAAAAAGTGCAAAAAGAAAAAAAAGCGCAAACAGAAAAATTCGCAACCATATAGGTCTTTGTGCAAAAATGTCTCTTTGCGCATTTTTCTGGTTGCGTATTTTTCTGTTTGCGTTTTTTTTTTCTGTTTGCGCTTTTTTCTGTTTGCGCTTTTTTCCGTTGCGCATTTTTCTGGTCACCATCCCATAAGCGCACATTTCCCAGCACCACTGTCGACCCCCCCCCCCTCACAATTTCTCTCACCATCCTCCACCCCTACCTGCTGTTGATGTGTTGGCCAACTTGAGACTGGATGTCTGAGTGAGCACGTGACCTACTGAGAAGAAACTCAGTGCCAGTAACCATGACAACCATCACAACTGATGGCGCCAACACCTGGTTGACGACACACAGATACTCCCCTCCCCCTCCACTCGCCTCATCAGTATAATTTATAACAGTTTGTCGTCAGGTAACCTGATATTGATAGACTATAAACACTAGTGTCATGACGTAACAACACGTGCTAATCACATCCACGTGCTCCATCACATCATCCCCCCTGTGTACTCACGATGGAGCTGCATCCGTTCCGTTACATAAGTTCCAGCCGACAGTGACGTAACGCCCAGGTCACCCGAGCAGACGACAAATCTGATCTCTCGTCCGCGCGAACTGACACAGTTTTTATTTAGAAAAATTCAATGAAACAATTTTTTAATGATTTTGTTAATGATGTTACAATGTTATAACCCGAGCTAATGAAATCTCGAGGCTGTCGCAGCTTTAACCAATCATCTCTCTTGTTTCAGTCTGCCAGATGTATGTCGCAGCTTTAACCAATCATCTCTCTTGTTTCAGTCTGCCAGATGTATGTCGCAGCTTTAACCAATCATCTCTCTTGTTTCAGTCTGCCAGATGTATGTCGCAGCTTTAACCAATCATCTCTCTTGTTTCAGTCTGCCAGATGTATGTCGCAGCTTTAACCAATCATCTCTCTTGTTTCAGTCTGCCAGATGTATGTCGCAGCTTTAACCAATCATCTCTCTTGTTTCAGTCTGCCAGATGTATGTCGCAGCTTTAACCAATCATCTCTCTTGTTTCAGTCTGCCAGATGTATGTCGCAGCTTTAACCAATCATCTCTCTTGTTTCAGTCTGCCAGATGTATGTCGCAGCTTTAACCAATCATCTCTCTTGTTTCAGTCTGCCAGATGTATGTCGCAGCTTTAACCAATCATCTCTCTTGTTTCAGTCTGCCAGATGTACGCCTTCCTCACGGCTGTAGCTGGTATGGTCACCATCAACACGCTGGCCGTCATCGCAGCCGACCGCTACTGGGCGGTGGTGCGGCGCCCCAACCCCGGCCACCACCTTCCCCGGTGCGCCACGGCCCTGGCTGTGGCCTCGGTCTGGTGCTACTCCATCTCCTGGGCGCTGTGCCCCATTCTGGGATGGGGCGCCTACATCCTGGACGGTATAGGAACCACGTGCACGTTTGACTACCTGACCCGAAGCTGGCACAACAGGAGCTTCGTCATGGCCATGGTGGCGGGAAACTTTCTACTTCCGTTTGCCGTCATGGCCTTCTGCTACACCCGCATCTGGTTGGCCGTCAGGGAGGTCAAGAGTGGCCTTGAGAGGGAGTCCTCCCACGTGACCATGGGCAGACGGCGATTCTCCAGGGACAGCTTCAGTTCTGCCGGAAGTGTGAAGAGAACACCGGATGCCGGAAAACGCCAGAGTTCCGGCAGCGAGACTTTCAGCCAGGACGAGGGTGTGGACTCGCAGCGTGACGTCAACTTCAACGACCACACGAGGGCGCGGATATTCTTCAGCAGACCCAAACTTCGGGGTCAGAGTTCAGTGTTGGCCCACGACTCTCCCCCACACAAGCAGGCCGCCGTCTGCTACAGCCAGATCAGCTTCGGCTCAGACGACTGCGTGGCCTACAGCAGCCACGACTACTCCATCCACTCCAAGCTGCTCCTCTCGTCTGCTGCCGGTCACACGCTCTGTGTCCCGTCACGGTCCAGTGGCTGCAGGTCAGTCGTCACGCGCAACCTCTCGCGTCACGAGGCGAAAATATCGTCTGCCTACTCGATGGAGCAGATGGCGCAAATATATGAGAACCAGTTTGGAAACGGCGAAATTTTTTACTGCAACGTCAGCAAGCAGGTCGGGGGTTCGAAACCCAACCAGCCCCGATCTAAAACTCTTGAAAGGTCGATATTTGGGAGGATACGGCTGCGCTACCACGCGGCCCTGGGCTCCAAACTTATCCTCAAACAGCACCGTTATCGTCTGCACTGTGAACACAAGACCATCAAGGTCATTATGTTCCTGCTGATGGCCTTCACCTTGTCCTGGTGCCCCTACACTGTCATCAGCATCATCGGTCTGTTCGGCGACCAGAGCCACATCTCCTACCTGTCCTCTGTGGTGCCCAGCCTCCTGGCCAAGACCTCTATGGTCTTCAACCCCCTCCTCTACTCCATCAGCCACCCCAAGGTCAGGAAACGGATCCTCAAGGCCTTCTGTGGGGCGTCCAAGCTCCAGAGGCCAAAGGTCAGTCGGTGCCAGAACCTCCGCTCATCCTCCACCCTCTCGGCCAACAGCCGCTCGTGATGCCGGACTTTCGGCCAACAGCCGCTCGTGATGCCGGACTTTCGGCCAACAGCCGCTCGTGATGCCGGACTTTCGGCCAACAGCCGCTCGTGATGCCGGACTTTCGGCTAGCCGCTCGTGATGCCGGACCTTTTCTTCCAGTGCCAAAACTTGCAACACAATTGTGATCAAAACTCGCAACCACAATTGTGATCAAAACTCGCAACCACAATTGTGATCAAAACTTACAACCACAATTGTGATCAAAACTTACAACCACAATTGTGATAAAAACTTACAACTACAATTGTGATGATACTTTGTGTTTTCTACCTGTTCTACCTATTCTACCTGTAATACTTTAATCGTTGGATTGGCTCAATTTATGACACTTGTATTTTTGTTTGCTGTTTCACATTGTGTTACATACTGTGATATTCTACGTGCGGTTTCATGTTGTGTTACATACATGATATATTAGTCTATATGCGGTTCCATGTTTCTATACGTCATGTGTTCTGCCTATAATGGAGACAAGCGAGTTGACGAGATTCCTTCCATAGTATTGTTGACATGGAATAAAAACGTGTTTTTTAGATTTAGACCGTTAAAAAAATAAAAAATAAAAACTTAAGCCTAAAATTAATTTAGAAATTTTATATTTTTAGAATAAATGCTATAAAAGTTGCAAATCCTGAGAACTTGAAAATAATTTGTTGAGTTTAAGGCTACATTTCTATTTATTTTCATTAAGCCTAAGTTATAACCGGATGTTTCACTTTCGTAAGACAAATATTGATTGGCTGTACAGTAACTTAGCGATCGATAACTATTTGTTTACAAAACTTTGCAGATCAAGTTTTTAAATAACAATGCAAATTTAAAACCCCATGACCTAGTTTTCTATTTTTAGCTTACAATGTGTACAATAAAATCAACGGCGGCCTATCCAATAGCAGGATGCCATTGTTTATGTCGCCATTACACGTGAAAACCAAATTGTTTTTGCTTTTTTTTTTAATTTTTATTTAGTTACCGAAAATATTATAAACATCAAATACATCCAATCTTTAGTAAAGTCCGAAAAAAACCAGATAGACAGGATTTTATAACCATATTAATTGTAACTACGACGTGCAAGATTTTTAAATGAATTTATACACCTCTCAAATACCTTTGAGACTTTTCTCGCTGGTGTCCATTGATGTGTTCTCTGATGTGTCGTCGATTGTTTAGTGTGTCTCTACCTTACCGGAAGTGTAGCGTCATTGTTTATATTTGTACAAGTCAGTGAGTAGAAAAAGTTGTTTATAGCTAGAAACTAGAACTGTAGCGGGTGGGGGGGGGTGACTTTTGTGACATGTGACAACAGGAGTTAGCTGGGGACGAGAATCAAGTCAGCGCTTTGCTGACTTCCGTCTTTTGACAAAACACGTGATCATACCGTTTAGCTTTGAACCACGTGATGTTGTTGTCGGCTTTATTTGTTATTCTACCGGCTCTGGTCTATAAATAGCCTCCTCTAACCCACTTAACTGATGATTTCGTCCACAACTTTTATAGAAGAATAAGTTGAACTCAGCCACAACAATAGCAGACGTGTGGAGACGGGTGGCGCCGCTAGTGGGGCACCACCAAGTACACAAATAAGGGGAAATAATTTGACTGAAGCCACACAAAAATTAATTTTTAAAAAAAAGAAGTTGAGAATATTTGAAGACAAAATAATATGTTTTGAAAAACTCGAATGTTCTAAAAGAAGACTTGTCACAACCATGATAAATGTTTTACAGAAATAACTTTGTAGGCCTGTTTCAGATTTTAATTCCTCACTAAATTAGATTAGAAAAAAACAACAACACGAGAATCGTGCAGATCGGGGTCACGGGACAGAAGTTGTCTTCTGTTGATCGTCACAACAGTCAGCTATCCTACCCAGACTGTGAAACTCTACTATCCTACCCAGACTGTGAAACTCTACTACCCTACCCAGACTGTGAAACTCTACTACCCTACCCAGATTGTGAAACTCTACTACTCTACCCAGACTGCGAAACTCTACTACCCTACCCAGACTGTGAAACTCTACTACCCTACCCAGACTGTGAAACTCTACTACCCTACCCAGATTGTGAAACTCTACTACCCTACCCAGACTGTGAAACTCTACTACCCTACCCAGACTGTGAAACTCTACTACCCTACCCAGGCTGTGAAACTCTACTACCCTACCCAGACTGTGAGACTCTACTACCCTACCCAATATAAGGAAGTGGGGAGGGTTGCTTTAAGGAGATCCAAAATTGCCGATCAAAAATTAATCTATAATTTAATTTTACCAACTTATTTATTTTAAACATCTCTGCCCCTGGTTTAAGCGTTTGGTTTAATGAGTTAATTAATCCATGATGAAATTATCGCAAAATTTGTTTTTTAATTAAAATACCGTAGACTAGGGAAAAGGGAGATTGTCGCATTAAAAAGGGGAATTAATCAGATGTTGCAGAAAATGGTTCTGTAAAAAATGCTTTACGTTGCCTAGCAATGAGACACGGCACGCATTACGTCACTACTTAAAGAGGAAATAAAATTTTAAAATATATAAACTAGCTTTATAAAAAAATAACCTTTTAGATGCTATGAAAATCAAATAAAAAAATTGCCCTTTTTAAAAATAAAAGTATTGGTCGCTCATAAAATCTTGTAAAGTAAACACATTTATTTATTTTATTATTTTCACTGCATTTAAAATCTTATTTTTGTTAAGGTTTTTATATTGTTTGAAACTTTTTAGAACAACCTAAATATGAATTCTAACAATTTAAATTGTGAGGGGTCGTCGAAAAATCGGGGTTTAGAATTTTTAAACGATGTGTGATGGTAGTTGGAGGTTGGGGAATGAAAGTTTGAAAAGTATTCAAACAGACTTCTAACCGTTATTTCGCATTGTCAATTGTAATAGAAATGGATTAATATACTCCATGGTGACCGCGCTCAGAATGTATTTTAGAAAGAAATCGACGGTTTAAAAAAACTGAAACTTGACAGGAGTGGTAGACAAGGTGTGACGTCATTTTACTGGTGGGGTTGGCAATTATCGGATGGATGCCGGAAAAATGCACCATCGGAAAACTGAGCAACGGAAATCTGCACAAACAGAAAATTGCGCAAATACAAACCAATTATACTTATCGTAATACACTTCATTTGTGTCATATTTCGAGGAAATATGTTTTATTATGCTACTATATACATGTGGTTATTCTTTGTTAATGTCTATAAATGTTCGATTTAAGAAAACTAAAATATACTTGACCACTTTTTTGTGCGCAGTTTTCCGTTGGAACCATTTTCTTTTGCTTATGAGATCAGGACATTGTTGTAGCGTGTTATTTATGAGATCAGGACATTGTTGTAGCGTGTTATTTATGACATCATGACATTGTTGTAGCGTGTTATTTAAGACAGGATGCCTTTTAATAATACGTGATTAAGTTTGTTAACATGCCACATTTGATGCTACCACGTTGTTTGGTATTACCATGTTATGTTACCACGTTGTTTGGTATTACCATGTTATGTTACCACGTTGTTTGGTATTACCATGTTATGTTACCACGTTGTTTGGTATTACCATGTTATGTTACCACGTTGTTTGGTATTACCATGTTATGTTAACATGCCGTTTGTTTTTATTACCTTGTTAAAATGCCATGAGTCTATTTTGACCAAAAAATCTATGTTAATATATGAATTACATTTGACATATTAGGTGGCACAGTTTGATGATCACTATCTCTGGTTGGCATTAATTGTTGACAATTTCACACAGCAAAATTGATGAATAAACATGATTTATGATATTTTTGTAAGCATTCATAGTTTTTCTTTTCTTGTTTTCCTGTCATGCCTAGCTCACTTCAACTGGGTGGACGTGTACAAAGGGTCATCATTGTCATCATCATCATCTATCTCTTTGGTTCTTTGAGGACCTACACATAGATACATCATTGTCATCATCATCATCTATCTCTTTGGTTCTTTGAGGACCTACACATAGGGTCATCATTGTCATCATCATCATCTATCTTTTTGGTTCTTTGAGGACCTACACATAGCGTCATCATCATTATTCCATTTGGTTCCACTCTGAGCCATGTCTTGCTCTGTTGTTGATATCCATCTGAGACTCTCCAATATATCTTGATAGTCCTTGCCTTTCTTTCTACTGTTGTCTGTCATACATCTCCCATAGTTTTGTGTTTTCTATCTTATACTGCCACAGTGTTTTCTATCATATACTGCCACTGTGTTTTCTATCTTATACTGCCAATGTGTTTTTACCTTATTTATAAAGGTCTAAATTCTTCTTCTTGTCTCTCGTGTTCTCCAAGTCTCGGATCTGTAGAGCTGGACTGCTTTAACACTGGAGTTTAAAATTCATAGTTTTTGTTCGAGGTATTTCTTCATTTCCAGACTGGAGTTAAAGATTCTTAGTTTTTGTTAGAGATATATCATCATTTTCAGACTGGAGTTAAAGATTCTTGGTTTTTGTTAGAGGCATATCATCAGTTAAAGATTCCTAGTTTTAATGAATCAACTCACAGACTGGTCTAGGATGTACACATGCCTGTCAGCACTCCTAAGTGGTATATGAATCAATCTACTACTTGCTCCTTCTTCGGGTTCTCTAATTTGACATCCTCATTTTTTCGTGGTTATTATTTAATTTTGAGTGTTTTAAGCCCCACTCTTGTTCCAGTTCTATTTAAAGCTGCAACTCTCTCCTCTGTGTCTTGTTTAGTCGTCTGATAAAGTAAGTCTATATCATTAAGTTCCCAGTCGTTCAGGTTTCGCGTCAGTCCATTGCCAGATTCTGCATATGCTTCTCTCATGACCAAATTTAAACTAGCAGGAAGTGTACTGGTGAGAAGAGACATCCAGCTGTAACGTGTCTTGGGACCAAGGTGTTTTTTAAAATTCTATACACTTGACGGCAGGAGGCTGTCGTGTTTAAATCCTGCCTGTTCTTTGTGTAGGTTGCATGTTTATTTAGTTAGATTTAGCACAATTCTGCTAAAAACCTTGCTTGGTACAGATAAGCAGGTGATTCTTCACCATTTCTTACACTGTGATTAGTTACTGCTTGTTGATATGTTTATCCTAAAGGGTTTTTCTGATTTCACCATAATGAGGGTCATCCAAGGGACTTAACACTCTCAGCACAAATTCTCTCCCTTGAGATTTTGAATCTAAGCAGATAAATCAGTTCACTAAGTTGTTCTCTGGTGGCTGAAGTGACATGTCTCAGACTCCTCCCCCCTTCCATAACGCACTGGCTAGGAGACAAGCAATTGTACAGAACAATTTATCTACAAAGATTTTTTTTAAATTGGATTATTCTAAAAGACTGTAAGGTCACAATGACATTTGAAAGAATCCCGCTGTGTCTGAGATGATAAATAATTCATGTGTACCCCAGACAAAGCTGAAACAATTTGTTCAAGTGTTGCAGCATTGGTTTATTTTGGTTTGTTGAATAGCTAGCACTGACATTTGGTTTATCTTACACAATAGTTTGTTGTGTAGCTAGCACTGACATTTGGTTTATCTTACACAATAGTTTGTTGTATAGCTTGCACTTACATTTGGTTTATCTTACACAATAGTTTGTTGTGTAGCTAGCACTGACATTTACTTTATCTTACACATTAGTTTTATTATTAGTATTTGCCAATACCAACACCCATGTTCAAAGTTTTGTCAATAGAATGTTAGGTAACATGCACAACACATCTTACCAACAGTTTTCAACTGCTGAGTTAAAATAATTTTAATAACCAGTAGTAAAATTACAACATTTTAATTTTTTAAATTTATTTTTTTTAAATGATCAATTAACAAATTTTCCCGTAATAAGCAAAACAATTTCTTAACAGCTTAGAATTTATAAATAGACCAATCACAAATAGAACCCTAAAAAAAATCTAACTGCACTCTGATGAAATCTTCCACTGCCACTATGAGATCTAACAACAATTACTGGTGTACCAAATACGGCCTAGATTGGACAAGCACATTTCTTCATAAGGTCCTAATTAGGAGCCACTGCATACACATCATATACAGCAACCATCAGCCAACTAACTCTTTATGTCCATTCATTCAGTTTTGAATAAACAAACAATTTTGTGAATCAAATGTACAATACTATTGAAATGTACTACCAGCAGGCCATTACAGTGAATTCCAAAGATCTGTTGCAGAAATTGAAACCCCCCCCAGTTAGTGTGAAGCCAGGCGTGGTAGGCAGGTGAACAAAGTGTGCCATTGTGCTAAAACTTAACTGGGTACAAGTCTATGCACCATGTTCTCCTTGTTGATCAAGTGGTTGGTTTTGTGGATGAGCTGCATAAGATCAGAGACACGACAAGACCAGGCGTTCAGCACGGAGTTGGGATCTTTCTGTTGGCTGAAGCTGACCACACCAGCTAGACGGTCTATTTTGGCCTGGACTGTCTTGTTCACCACTAGGTTGGAGAGGAACTCTTCTGTCTCCTGGGAGAGAAGTTCACAAAGGATTGAAGGAAATGTATAAAATAACGGATGAAATATTGAGCTGAAACAAAACATGTTCTTACATTTTCTGAAAGATCCAACAGTTCTGCCATCCTCTGCATCCTGAGTCTTGTGTAGTACTTGGCCATCACTCGGATGTTCTGTCCACATGAAATTAAACATGCAACAATACATGTGTTAGACATGGATGGATGACTGAGACCCACGTCATAAAATTATCCATCATCAATAAAAGTTGGTGATTATATGGACCACTTACAATAAAAGTTGGTGATTATATGGACCAGCTAGAGTAAAAGATGATGAACTAAACTTACATGTTCTACAACTCTGTTCTTGAGATCTGCCCATCTCTTTTCGCCCCCTTCTACCTTACTACTTGTGCTAAAAACAAAAGTGGCAGTGTCTCCAGTTTTAAGTCCCTTCTCATAATCTCGACACAAAAAGGTCCAATTCATTATCTCGTTTGTTGTAAACTTCTTCAAAAATTTTCTGGCAAAAACCAAGTAAAACCATGCAACTATTTAGGAAATATGTTTCAATATATTACAATAGCTTTCAGAACTTACAGACATCACAACAAAATTATTGACAGTATGAACACCAATGCTCAACAAATTAGAAAAAACAGACACAAATGTAATAAGTATGTGACAGACTGACATACATTTTTTTTACAAACCCAACTTACTGATAAAAAGTAATTTCTTCTAAATTTTTGTCTTGTGCAACTCTGTGCAGTAAATCAGACTGCTCGTTGTCGTAGGGAGCCAAGACTAGGTACAGCACCACACAGCGTAAAGCCTGGGTAATTAAAGATGAGTTAATAATGAGATGGAAATAAGCAAACACTGTCAATCACTGGCTCAAGTTATATCATGTTATATTATAAGAAGCCACATCACGTAAAGCCCAAGTTAAACATAATGAGCAGGGAAATGGTAACCAAAAGACAACAATTTCATTCAAGAGTTGAATGATTAATGACCCGCAATGCATAGAAGTTAAAGCATCCTTTGCCTAATTCAATGGCAATTTTGAAATGTTTATAAAACTTATTGCTTTTATCCAGATTTCAGTAAAACATTAAAAAAAGTTTTATTTTGATTATTGATTAATCGTTAGGTATTCTTTTAAATGCAAACTCTTACTTCTTTCATCTTCTCTTTATCTTTTTTAATTTGTTCAGTGTTGTATATGGCTAGGTAATGTTTACAGATGGCCAGATAAGATCCTTCATGCTGGTCCAACTCTATCATAAGCTGGTAGAACTTTAATTTCAAATCCTAAAAAACAAACACATCTTTAATCAAACCATGAAAACATTTCCTTTATCAAGAACAAACCCTGAAAACGTACTTTATCAAAATCAAATGCTGAAAAAACACATATATTTAAACCCAACTAAACCTTAAAAATGCTGCTACAAATTGGTTTCAATCAGCAATAGGTAAACAAGGTAGATCTGATGCTGACACGATTTATAATTATCATTTATTTGGATAAATGGTTGAATTTCACAGGAGCAACTAGAATTAATATAATGGTTGAATTTCACAGGAGCAACTAGAATTAATATAATGGTTGAATTTCACAGGAGCAACTAGAATGAATATAGTTAATACATGGCAAAAAAAAAATGGAGGTGTAAGGTCAGCTCCACTTACTACAGTATCTGCATCCTCAAAAAACTTGATGCTAATTTTCTTGCTGATGATCTGTGTGCGGATGTAATCTTTTTTGGCAAGGCACAGTCGCATCTGTTCCAAAATGAACTCAACTTTCTCTTTTCTGTCCATAGATCCAAAAGTTTCAACCTAAATGAAAAAAAGTGTAGTTATGTTAGAAACAGAAGTTTGTTTCAACTGTAGTGTATGAACTAACTGGTAGTTTTCGAGGCAATATTTTCATACAAAACTAATGCTAATTGTATACCTGTAACTCTTGCAATACACTTGCTGCTGTAGCTATGTCCCCCTCATCTTCACGAATTTTAGCCAGTGTTCTGGTCAGCCTTGCCCTTTCAATCTCAACATAGATCTGCAACACACAAATTATAGTCATATCAATATCTGCAACACACAAATTATAGTCATATCAATATCTGCAAATTCAAACATAATATCTGCAAAATAAGAAATGGCAAGCTGTAAAATATTTTGGAATTAAAATATTAAAAACCAGTTAAAAATTGGAAGGTGTGATTTCTTAAAATATTTCCAACATTAGCAATAGAACAATAAACTAAAATGAAAGTTTTAATTGATTTCTTTTAATAGAGCTGTTATGACATGACAACAAGTGTAAATTCACTGTTTACATCACTTATGGCAATCATGTTTTAAAGACTAAATTAAAGGATACCAAAGACAATGAGTGATAGGGGTTTTACCTTTCCAGCAGTCACTGATCTGAGGGTGTCTATGAGTTTTAACTTGATTTCTTTTGTTGGCGTATTTTCAACATAGCTACATGCCTCTTGAATCATCTTAGTCACGGACTGGCAAAAAAATAATAACCTTTTAAGTAACCTTCCCCATATCATTATTAAGTGTTGGCCACCCACTACACATGGTAAACATAATTTGCTCTCATTTAATTGACTAAAGTGACAGATAGTGAACCAACCTGTTTAATCTGACCTCGTTTTTTAGTCAAAAGCACAATGTTTTCATTTAAGGCATCCCAACTTTTTGCTTCAAAGCATATTTTAACAATAGCAACCAATATGCGACTTGTTGAATGTGTATCAGCAGCCTAGAAAATATTAGCCAGTAATACATTTAAGATGGGTGGTAGTTTAATAAAATCAAATTAATATGTCTCTTAAGGCTGTAATTGTGTATAAGTAGCAACTTTTACATAATTTTACATCACTGCATCTTTAAAGTAATATTTGAACTACTATAATTTATTGTAAAAAGTCCCGTTGATAAACTCATTGCTAACACTTACAGTCCTTGTCTGCTTCTCAAGAGACATTAAGTTGTCAATAGCTTCTGTCAGTTTACCTTGCTGAAAGTAGTAAAAACAAATTAGTGGTTCAAAGTACAAGCAATGTATATTAAACTAGATTCATTGAATTTCTAGGTTTAAAATTTAAAACAATCTCACAATATAGCGCCTGTAATTATTTCAAGACTGTTTAGTTTAAAAAATGTAATTAACACTAAAACAATGGTTTAGCCTGTCACACCATTCTGGAATACACCGGATGCACTGCAAAAAATATTTTATCTGGCACTATCTTGTAAATAAACTTAGTTTAACTTTGCGGTCTGATATCTCCGAAAGTATTTAACATATTTTAACCAAGAACCCTGAGCGTTATACGTGTACATTTAATCTATTCTTCTACCAAGTTTCACAGTTGTAGTACGAAAACTCACAGAGTCTATAGACTCGAAGTAACACCCCCCCTTTTAAAAAGGTGAAAAAGCCTCCCCCCTAATCGGCACGTCGCTGCGGAGGGTAAAAATTGCGATTTAATCGGCGATTTCTTCAACGTCTGAAATAATAGAGAAATCAAACTTATACAGTTAAAAAGGTTGTTCAATTACGAACAGAATGATGTATAACATGTTAACATAAACACAATAAAAGCATGCAAAAAACAGAGTTAAACATGCAGGGGGTAGGGAAAAGCCGATTTGTCCGATTTTCTCGGCAGCGGCATTGGCCTAGCTAAATAAAGACAGCATAAACAGCGTTGTTTGTAATTGTAAAGCTTTTGAAATCCTTTTAAAACAATTAGATCTATATTTTGCATTTTATGTTAAGTATTCAGGTAGCTCATACTGGAATTGGATCTACTAATTATTGAATTGTAATCTCACAAAATAGCACGGTTATTATTCTGGAATGGTAGGCCTCAGTAAATAAACAATGGCGTAGTCAGTAGTCTATCACACCATTCCTGAATCCACCAAAAGTAAAACCCTCAAAATTTGTGCCTAATGGATTAAATCTGGATGTCTATTTTTCAGTGGTCATGTTTACATTGAAAATTTGAGTAAATTTTAGTTTAGCTCAGTGGTTGATTAAAAATAGGGATTTAGGTAAAAAAACACTAATCATCATATAAAAATAAAAATTACATATTCTTGTAGAGCTCAACTATATGAAAACAAAACAAAAAAGATTTTCTGTCTAGCTCAAATAGTTTTTTTTTGGCGAATTTTTTTGTGAGGGGTGGAATCCCCTTGCTTTTGCATTGGCCAATTGTGACAAATCATGGTATACCTGAATAAATTGAGCATAGTTATTTTACTTGCAGTTGTATTTTGTTCATATTTGCAGAGTTTAACTAGAATGATATATAGAACTTGTAAATGCTGTTGAAATTAATAAAAATAATACAGAACTTATATTTTTGTGTTGGCTTCCTCCCATAACCCCAAAAAACTGTGTGCTGCGCAAATATGAAAATGTTTCTAAAGCCATATTTTATATAAATACAGCAAATGAAAGAACTACAAAGTTAGAAATCTAAAGTAAATGACTTGAACACTGTTATGTGCATATAATTGCCTCATTATTTTGGGCAGGTGAAGTAGAGTCCATCTTTAAGCCATTTTGTTATAAAACTGCTGCGCAAATATGAAAATGTTTCTAAAGCAATATTTTATATAAATACAGTGAATGAAAGAACTCCATAGTCAGAAATCTAAAGTAAATGACATGAACACTGTAATGTGTCTATAACTGCCTTGTTATTTTGGGCAGGTGAAGTAGAGTCCATACAAAAGCCATTTTGTAATAAGTGAAATGAAGTTATCAGATCAATGTTTTTATGTGTGAATTGTGTATGGATTCTGATTTTCAGCATATAACTATATCTAAGGGTAAGTAGAACTTGAATACTTAAAATTACAGTTAGCACAATGTTAGTGTATAGCAACAGACAGGTAACCTAGATCTAGATCTAGGTCTGACTCTTGTCAGTCTAGAGTCTAGTCTGACAAAATTGGATTTTTAGGAAAAACATATTCTAGAAAACTAGAACTAGAGCTGAAAAAATTAAAGATGGGTATGTAAATATATTTTGAAATAAAAAATTAGATTTGTTTGCACATGCCATAAGATTGCTGTTATTAGTGGACCAAACTTAAAGGCAGGAAGATCGGGATGAAAAAATATAACAATGGTGGCAGCGTGACCTACATACAGTGTCTACGTTCGGAGGGGTATAACTAATGTCGGAGTCAAAATATCCAAAAACAAATTTCATTTCCAATTACTTAAGATATGTCTGATCAGTAATCTACTCTCATCTAGAGGAATCTTTTAAAAAATCGAGATTCCAACGTATTTGAAACTAACCTTGATACAGGGGGAAGACCAAAGCAGAGACAGCATGCAATCAGGTCGCAAAGCCATTAAAACTAAGGGACAACCACTCTACTTTTTAATTAACCTTAGGAAATGACCTTTTAAACTTAATTAATTACCATAAATTAAAAACTTATTAGTATGCAAAACCAAATCTCGTGGGTCCGGTATCAGAAAGTAATGGGCGATTTCGGGTCATGTTTTTACCGCGAACTCGGCGGATGCCGACAACCCTATTAAAAATTAAAAAATTACCTAAAACTAATGGCCTTAATAGCTTAGAATACGATATAGAGATTTAGTCTATATGCCTAATAAGAAGTAACTTTCATATCAGTGTGATGCTATACCTTAGCAAGTGTCTCGCATAAAGGAATTTTTTCTTCCACAGTAGAACTGAAGTCCACTTCCATTTTTTGGATACGACCATCGTTAGATTCAGACGCCATGATGAATAAGCAGGAGATTGGAAACCGGGTTGCCAGATCAAACTTCGCATTTTCTGAAAATCTTGTAGGCCTACAACTTTGAAGTTAAGAAAAAAGAAGCCAAAGAAAAATAAAAGATGAACAATTAATTTTGAAAGTTAGGCAATAGGATCAATTTAGTAAAGAGTTTTAGAAGAAGCTTTTTTGCCTGTTTCATAAATGTGTGGGTTTTTTATGTTGTATTATTTTTTCTGTAGACTTAACTCTTTTTATATTTTTCATTAGGCCTAGTTTTTTGTAATTAAAAATGAGCAGCATTGAAAGTATAAACAGATAGGTTTCGTGTTTTCAAACACTTGGCCTGAAGTGGTGCTCCATAAAAATTCAAATCATTGTCTAATACAGCCCCTGTGTATTTAATTTAAAATGTTAAAGTAGCCTAATTAATCTAATTATAGGACGTTACGATGTGTACACACAAATTTAACAAGAGTAATCAAAAGTTTTTTCCAGTTTTATTCCCTCTTAACTCCTGATAAGCAAATAATACATTTTTATTAAGTCTATGGAACAAATAAACTTAAGCAAAATAATTATTATAGATGAAAGAATAACATAATCATTAAAATTATATAAGAATTAGCATTAACTGAGGATGGATCTACAAATATTTTATTCATTAATTCAAAATTTGTTATGATATATAAATGTTGTACATGGTGCATATAAGACCTCAGAAATACTTCTCTTATAGTCACAACCTACACTAACAAAATAATAAATACTTTGCGTATCAACCACACAATATACAACTGGCTTAGCTTTTTTTTTCAAAGGGTAGAATATTATTTTCAAATTTTGAATATACACCAAAAAGCTGAAAGTAAAGTTAAAACATAAATCTGAATCATTAGACCTGGTTATTGTAAGTACCAGGTATATCCAATCAAATCAGATTTAGTACAGTAAGATAAAAAATTAATATATTGCACTTGATTTTACAAATCACTCTAAAGTTAAATGATAAATTTAACAAAGTTGTATTAAATTTGAACCTGATTAATCCAATAATAGCTACATGAAAGTGACATCAGAATATGGAACAGTTTGTTAATAATCATCAAAATAAAAAAAATTGTCTTTAATTATTTCAAAAAGCATTTGTGAAATAAATTTATATTGAAAACAAAAACAACTGTTACAACTTAAATTATTGATTGCAAATTTCAGAAAAAGTTCATAATTATTTTCAACATTTTTTTTTGCATAAATTGTTTTATTAGTTCTTTTTTATGTGAATAGATAGGTTACTAAAAACATCGTTCTTATGTAAATCTAAACAAAGTGTGATTACAATAATTAACTACTTAAACTTAATGAATTACATTAAATTCTACATGAAATTAAAATTATTAAATGTAATCAAATATTTTAATTGTTCAATTGAATAATTTTAAAATGGTGTCACCCTGTAACACTATTTGAAGTAAATTCTTTAAAATTAAATGTGACTGCAGAAAGCATGTAAATCAAGACTCTGTTTTCTTGCAACGAGCTTACATTAGCTTCATGCAAGCTTTGGCCCATGGTGGCACGGGCTCATTCGCTGAAATACCGTTGACATGATCTAGGAGGGTGGGAGACAGTTTGTACAACTGTCTGACAGGCCATAGCAAACTGTGACAAACTTGTGGCTTCAGCACATCCACATAACAAGACATCAAACAGCCATCAACAAAAATCTGGCCACCGGTGGTGAAAGGGGCAAACAGGCCAACTTTTCTCTCATGACAGATTTCTTGCACTGGAAAACTGGCCAACTGGTCTGGGGACGCTACAATCAGTTCATCCCCAATGTTCACATCCCTGGCAGCTAAACAAAGCTCTACACCGTTCCTCACACAGTAAACATAATGTCCACTGGTCAGGGAAGCTTGGCTTGCTGTTGTTTTCAATGTGATGAACTCGTGTGAAGCTCGGGGATCCTGGTGCCCAAACATGTAGACTGTATCAAAACACACACGGCCATCGTTACTTCTGGACATCACCCTGTCCCCAGTTTTTAGGTCCTGGAGGGTGACATGTTCTCCACTTTCTAGTATCACCAGCGAGTTGCCAGGGAAACATTCACCTCCTTTCTTCACTTCTTCTTTCACTTTTTCAGCCACTTTTTCATTAACCAAATTAGACTTGGGGTTGACTTCTGTATCGTAGTAGACCTGCAGGCGCCCCCTGTGCATGTCAAAGTCACTGCTGTCAAACAGATTCTCCTCATTCCCTGCATCAGACTGGGGGGAAACACCCTCACCCCTGGGGACATCCGGGCTGTCTGCTTCAGGGCGATCCGCTATCTCATCCAGTTTGTTGTGGATAGTGGCAGCCAGACCAAACACAGTATCCACCAGACAACCCAGCTGGCCACTCTCTGTTTCTGTGACTCTGTTACTTAGGTTGTCTACTTTCTCCTTCAGCTTGGCCAGCTCATCCTTGTACTTGTGCTCGTTTGTGTTCTGCACCATGGTGCTCAGATACTCCAAGATCATCTGGATGTCTCGCATCAAATCTTCATTCACCTGCGGCACCTGCTCCTCCTGGATGATCCTGCTGCGCTCTCTCTGAGCAAACTCAAAAATTGCATTAGTATAGCGGGTGCCATTTCCTTTTAAACTGTCCACCTTAGCAACCAGTCGAATCAGCTGACTCTTCATGACTTTAGGGTCTTCAGCTTTGTTGTTGAACAGCACGCAGCGATGGTTGCACTCTTCAAACAAATCTTTCAGCGCCCCCTTCTGACTGTGGCACCAATCGGTGAAGGTTTTTTCTTTGATTTCCTTTTCAAAGTTGTCCCCGTGGGTGACGACACAAACACAGTGGGATTTGATAATGTCCTCGCCCAAAACACATTTCAGCAGTCCGATTGCTTTCTTCTCTTCCGTCGTCATGCGCGTCCCAAACCTGATGATGAGCAGCAGGGCGTGAAATCCTTCAGGGCAGTTGGCGATGGCTTCACTGATAGACTTGATGGCCAGATCTATGGAGGAGGCATCGGTATCTAAGTTGGTATCACAGACACCAGGCGTATCAACAACTTTAAGTATGCGTCCATCTACTTCAGACCAAGCTACATTCGTGCGAGTGGTGACAGAGTCTCCGTCTGCTGAAGAAACAAACTTGTGCGCCCCTAGGATAGAGTTTCCTGTTGAACTTTTACCATGCCCAGTTTTACCAATCAGTAACAAATCCAGGTCAGAGCCAGGCGGGAGCTTGGATGTTACTTCCTGTCAGATAAGAACGTAAATATATCAAGTTCCTGCCAATTTCAACTCAAATTAAATTACTTGGTTTTACTGTATCAGAATTAGAAAGCACATTAAAATCTATATACCAGTATTTGAAAGCTACTGTTACAAGATGTAAAGAAGAAATAAATGTTTGATGTTTGCTAGTCTTTACCTCAATAAAAACTTGCACAGTAGTGAGAGGGTCATTAGAGAGAAGGTCCTGCAAGCTCTCCTCAGTGGGGAGGTGAACAAAGTCTAAGCTGACCACTGTTTCATGTAAAACCATGTGCGTCTGCTGAATTTTCTTCAACACTTTGTTACCTTCATCCACTCTGTTATCTACCAGAAACCTCTGGCTCCTGAAAAATTCCTGAAATAGAAATGCTACTGACATTACCTGATCATTAAAGAAAATTAATAACCCTAATACCACATTTATAGTGCTGACCACACTATCTCTTCATATGTAGAGGTCACAGAAACAGGTGACCTCTACATCACTTCCTGCATAGACTTCCGGCTTGAAAATGAAAATTTACTTTTAAAGCCACATTCTTTTTAATTTCAATTTTAAAAAATATATCCATAAGTAATTTATATTTAGGAAGTCATTAAGTCATCACTTGAAAGTTCCAACAATGAAGTGTCTGCTCAGGTAGGTTAGCTACAATCAAAATGATACAAGCTGGGGTACCTGGATTAGATTAGCAGCCTTCTCGCAGTTGCATAAGAGATGGAAAAGTTTATCCAACATAACACACACATCTTCGGGATAAGGAGCAAAGTTGAGACTGTGAAGACTTAAGTACTCAAGATTTCCAGAGTTAGGAGCTGGTCTTGCTGAAATAACAAGTTGAAATTGTGAAGACGGGTAGATAGAAAAACAGGGGCTGTGGGTAAAGAGAAGGAAAGAAATGCTACTGACTTCAAATTGCTGTTTCAAAACACCCAGAATAACTAAAAAAAAATTTTAAAGTGATACACAGAAATTCTGAAACTATAAATTCCTTTTTTTCTATAAGAAATTAATTTTCTTAGAAATTCTCTTTAAATAACAAGCTGTATTTCATTTGGAGATATTGAGAAAGAAAATCAAGAACAATAGCAAGGCTAAAAATATGGTCTAGAAATTAAAAAAAAAGCACAAACGAGCCAAACTCAACTGAATGTCTGACTAAACTTACTTTGTTCAAAAGGCTGTAAAATAACTCTGAGGTTGTAAAAAAATTTGGGCCCTGTCTGCTCTAGTACAACAAAGCTGTCATAGTTTCCATCCCCGTCCTCCTCATCGTTCAGCTCACCAAAGCCTTTACTCCCTGGGTGGTACTCAACAAACTGGCCAGTGGCTCCTGACTTGAAGCCTGGAATACAAGATGAGCATCAGCACTTACAGGTACAGTTGCTGGTATAAAGTGGATAGCAGCATCAGCACTTACAGGTACAGGTGCTGGTATACACAGTGGATAGCAAGTATCAGCACTAACATGTGCAGGTGCTGGTATACAGTGGATAGCAGCATCAGCACTTACAGGTACAGGTGCTGGTACAGTTATGACACATGAAATGGGAAATTGAGTTGCCAGATAGAGATGAGAAAAATTATATGAATACAAAAACTATTAAATTACATTAAACAATTAAATGATCTGGCATTTTATGAGTCAAGCTGTAAAATCTAAAGCGAAACTTTTTTGTTTGCTCAATGGAAATGATTTAGATATTTTTTTAGCTTTAAAATGAAATATAATAAGAAATAGAATACTTACTGGGCATGTTTTTCAAAATAAGGTTTGTTATTGATTCTTTTTCATCTTTATCCAGCCCATCTCTACTCCTCATGCTCCTGTTGTCCACCTCGTACTTGAGGCTGTCCTTACAGCTAGTCCACCCCAGACACAGGTCCATGAAAGCTTCCAGAGTTTTCACCATCCCAGACAAACTCGAGGGATACTTTTCCAGCTCGTGGAAGAGGCAATATTTCACATCAAGCTGGACATTGCTGTAGTGCTTGCTGGCAAGTTTCTTGTCAATTTTGGACGCGACTTTCTTCAACTTTTCTAGCCTAGAGCCAACATTGTCACCACTATAGGTTCCTAGACACTTACAAACTTTGTAGTAAAATTTTGTGAAATTCTCCTTATCTGCAGAGTACAAATAAGAAAAACATTTTCTTTAAGGATCTTAAATTCAATCTTCTTCTTCTTCGTTCTTAATTATTAGTGTTGAAGGGGATCGGGATTTATCTGCCAGTGCGTTTGTACTCGAGACTTTGTTCGAATTTATCAACCATGAGCTTTTTTTGCAGACTCGACCACGCCTCCAACACAATTAAGCGTTACGTGTCAACTGGTTATGCGCCATTGAGGCCATTGACTCCGATTTCAGCCTGCTTTTCTTTTTGGATTTGCTTCCATAGCCTTTGTCCAACCAAGAACAAACTACGAGGCAGCAGTTGTTTAATTTTGGAGTTGTCTCTCCTAGAAGAGTGGCTGTCCCCAGCTAACGAGCCTCGTCTGCTCGGGGGTTCGAACTCGAGACTTTTTCGGTTTAGCAACCATGAGCTTTACCGACTCGACCACGCCGACCCCTCTAAATTCAATAAAAACATGGACTTAGATACTCTCTTAAGCCCCGGCTGTAACTTTATCAAATCTCTATTTTCTCCATACAAACTGCAACATCTCCAACAACCAACAGACTAAAGCTACAAGGGTACAAACTGCAACATCAACAACACCGACAGAATAAAGCTACAGTTGGTATAAACTGCAAGTTAAACTGATGTTCTGTTCTCCAACAACCAACAGACTAAAGTTAAAGTTGGTAGAAACTGCAAGTTAAACTGATGTTCTGTTCTCCTTACCAGGGGAAGAGATTGTAAACATGGTGATCATCTCATTCCCAACCTCCAGTGTCTTGACCCAGTGCGTGCAGTGTTGCTGGATGCTTCTGCTCTGCCCTGGTTCACTGTACATGGAGGCAGCATCAGCCAGCAGACTTTCTGTGGTGCTCAGGCTCTCGCTGGCCCCTTCCTTACAGCAGACAGGCACAAAGTCTGGCGCCAAGTGCTGGATCTCCTGTGGGCAGACAACAACTTCAATCAACATTGTTCAACCATGTTCACCTTAAAACTTTCACCAGAACACAAACAGTGTGAACAATTTTACACAGTCTGCACATTAAAAAATAAGATTTTTACATGAAACAAAATATAGCAAAATACAGTGGCTGAAGGCAATGATTAAAGAAAAAAGTTAAGTGTTTCACATAACAGAGTTACAGTAATTTGTTCGTAAAAGTGATTGGCATGGTATAAAATGTAGTCTGTATACAGCTACATATTTGCTAACAACAAAGGTTTTGTTACAGAGAGCAATAGATGCATGTGCACCAACTAACACCAGAGATTTACCAGTTGACAAAGTTATACATAGTATATACAGGTTATGTCCGAATAAATAAATATACAAAAAAATGCCAAATTGTACAGCAAAGTCTGATTTGTAACTCTAATAGCTTTAATAGCTCACTCAATTCCTTATGTTATTAGATTTGTAAAATTAAATTTAAAAAGTGCTAGATGTTGCTTAGATTTTTCACTTGGAAACTCAGCATACAATAAAATTAGAATCAAAACAGAAACCTCTGGTTTATTTTTTAATCTCACACTGTCTTGTACAATATTTAGAGATTGAAAAGACGGTAGATAAGCTTTTGCACAAATATAATTGGATAGAAACCCAATGGATAAAGGCGATTAAGTCAAAATGCATTGGGTCATAACTGACTTGAATATTTTATTTTTATTCATTTTATTTAACAAATCTGGCATCTAAAGCATCACCTGCAAGTATGTGACTCTAAATATAAACGTGAATGAGTCATCTTTGTACAGATTCTGCAGGCAAGCAGACACGGTGTCATTCTGTATCTTGTTGGCCTTGACCTTGAAGACGTACTCAGGTGAGATGCTCAAGATGTCACAAATGTCTTTTAAACTTCGTACTTCTGTAAACTTGGAGGTCACAAGATTCAGCTGAAAGCATTTTTTAAAACATTATTTTAAAATGTTAGAAAGGAAAAATGAGATTCATTAAATTTGAAACAATACAGATATCTATAGGTCTACCTAAAACATAATGCTTGATATCCACTGGTCTCCCTAAAACATACTGCTTAATTCAATAGGTATACCCAAAATATACTGCTTGCTTCAATAAGTCTACCCAAAATATACTGCTTGCTTCAATAGGTCTACCTAAAATATACTACTTTTAGCATGTAGTCCCTAACAAAATGGATATCAGACCTGTAGGTTATGTTAGTCACTAATGTAGGTAACCTGGGGTAATTCCATACACTACTTTTCTAAAAAATTTGTAAAAAATCTAAAATTAACACTACCATAATATAATATTGAGGGTGTAACTAGACATGCATTACTTATATGATGGCAAACAAATATAGAGATAATTCACAAAATAAAATACAATTTTTTCAATATTTCATTTTTATTGTGAAAACATGGCAAATGGGGCAATTCCACACACATTATAAAAATTTTAAAATTGATGTATTAAAAAAATTGTAAAAACATTTTTCTCCTTGGAAACAATTTTGCATGGTGGCAACCACTCTTCATCACTGGGTGAGGAGAAAGCCTCAATTTCTTCCTCCTGAATTCTGCTCTCATCTGTCATAGGCCGAAGTATTTCGTTTATAATTGTGGACCATTCTGAAATAAAATAAAAATTAAATGTTAGAAAGTGTAATTACTAATCTGTGTATGGGGATGTTTAGCTCTAAATATTGCATAAATTATAATAAATAATATAGGTACAGTAAAAAGAATAATAGATAAAGAAATAAAAGAAGTCTGTGGAAATTTTACTTAACTTTAATAGCAGAGTCTTTTTAAAAATAAATAGTACTAGATCTAGTACTATTTAAATTTTTTTTTTTAGATTAAATCATGAGTTGTGAATTGCAGAATTAGCCACAACCAGTTTAAATGGTTTAAAATAATAGCTAAACTCTCTAAAGAGTATAAAAAGCAACATGGGACATTCCAAACTATAGTGTATGGAATTGCCCCACACCATGTGTGTGGAATTGCCCCACACCTACTATTGAAAAAAATATGCTTTCCTGTTCTAAATTAAAGGCTGAATCTAGCATCATTAACTGTTACTATTAACAAAAATGATTAAGCTTTCATAAAATCAATATATAATTGACAACAATTAAAAATAAGACAAAATAAACTATTATTAAAAAGTGCAGGGGTTGTACTTACCTAAGGATGTTTCAAGATAGATGCAGATAAAATTAAAATTCTTGCTCTGATTGTAGATAAACGCTTCTCTAATAGTATCAAAAAGTACAAGAAATGACCTCTTAGAAACAGGGAATAGTAACTTTTAATTAAACTTTACTCCCATTAAAAATAGAGAGTATTTAGTATATAGTGTGTGGAATTACCCCGTGTGTGGAATTACCCCGGCTTACCCTACATCAGACAAACAGTAAAGCTAAACAACACCTTGCCTAAACTAGAAGGAAAATATAGAGCTGATACCTTAGAAACGGTGGATCGTGTAGTTTCATCAATCAACATAAATCCCATCTGCAGCTGTTTCATATCTACCTCCCTGCCCAGCAAAAAGCCTTGGTGAAAAGGAACTGTGCAGTCCATTTCCTAGGCTGTGTAGTCGATTAATCAGTCTGGCATAAACCTATCAGAATAGAACAGTGATTAATTAAAATTAATTTCTTAAAATTTACAGCTATTAAAATAAGGTAATGAGTTAATTGAGTTGCCAAAAACACAAACATTGGCGTTATCATAAAAACTTCATTACTTCAAGAAGCTTTGTTTCAAATGATTCAAATCAATGGTACAATTCTGTCATACATTTTTTTAAAAATGGGAAATGTTGCTGAGGTTTAATATGAATAATGTCACTATGTGCTTATCTTTCTGCGCACTGTGTAGTAGGCCTTGGTACATTCTCTTCATAAAACTCTAACCCTTGAGTAAATTTTTTTAATGTTGATGCAGATCTAGCACTTTACTAGCAGAGGCTAGGCACAAACTAAGACAAGCCATATGAACAAATATATAACTGAAGTAAAGTATAAACTAAAGGGCCCTTCCAGATAGTCTGTACTTGATAATAATTACTATTTCATTTAACTTTATAAGGTATCAGGAATGTTTAGACTAATTACTATTTCATTTAACTTTATAAGGTATCAGGAATGTTTAGACTAATTACTATTTCATCTAACTTTATAAGGTATCAGGAATGTTTAGACTAATTACTATTTCATTTAACTTTATAAGGTATCAGGAATGTTTAGACTAATTACTATTTCATTTAACTTTATAAGGTATCAGGAATGTTTAGACTAATTACTATTTCATCTAACTTTATAAGGTATCAGGAATGTTTAGACTAATTACTATTTCATCTAACTTTATAAGGTATCAGGAATGTTTAGACTAATTACTATTTCATTTAACTTTATAAGGTATCAGGAATGTTTAGACTAATTACTATTTCATCTAACTTTATAAGGTATCAGGAATGTTTAGACAAATTACTATTTCATTTAACTTTATAAGGTATCAGGAATGTTTAGACTAATTACTATTTCATTTAACTTTATAAGGTATCAGGAATGTTTTGACTAATTACTATTTCATTTAACTTTATAAGGTATCAGGAATGTTTTGACTAATTACTATTTCATCTAACTTTATAAGGTATCAGGAATGTTTTGACTAATTACTATTTCAACTAACTTTATAAGGTATCAGGAATGTTTTGACTAATTACTATTTCAACTAACTTTATAAGGTATCAGGAATGTTTAGACTAATTACTATTTCAACTAACTTTATAAGGTATCAGGAATGTTTAGACTAATTACTATTTCATTTAACTTTATAAGGTATCAGGAATGTTTTGACTAATTACTATTTCATTTAACTTTATAAGGTATCAGGAATGTTTAGACTAATTACTATTTCATTTAACTTTATAAGGTATCAGGAATGTTTTGACTAATTACTATTTCATTTAACTTTATAAGGTATCAGGAATGTTTTGACTAATTTCTATTTCATCTAACTTTATAAGGTATCAGGAATTTTTTGACTAATTTCTATTTCATCTAACTTTATAAGGTATCAGGAATGTTTAGACTAATTTCTATTTCATCTAACTTTATAAGGTATCAGGAATGTTTAGACTAATTACTATTTCATCTAACTTTATAAGGTATCAGGAATGTTTTGACTAATTACTATTTCATCTAACTTTATAAGGTATCAGGAATGTTTTGACTAATTACTATTTCATCTAACTTTATAAGGTATCAGGAATATTTAGACTAATTACTATTTCATTTAACTTTATAAGGTATCAGGAATGTTTAGACTAATTACTATTTCATCTAACTTTATAAGGTATCAGGAATGTTTAGACTAATTACTATTTCATTTAACTTTATAAGGTATCAGGAATGTTTAGACTAATTACTATTTCATTTAACTTTATAAGGTATCAGGAATGTTTTGACTAATTACTATTTCATTTAACTTTATAAGGTATCAGGAATGTTTAGACTAATTACTATTTCATCTAACTTTATAAGGTATCAGGAATGTTTAGACTAATTACTATTTCATTTAACTTTATAAGGTATCAGGAATGTTTAGACTAATTACTATTTCATTTAACTTTATAAGGTATCAGGAATGTTTTGACTAATTTCTATTTCATCTACCTTTATAAGGTATCAGGAATGTTTTGACTAATTACTATTTCATTTAACTTTATAAGGTATCAGGAATGTTTTGACTAATTACTATTTCATTTAACTTTATAAGGTATCAGGAATGTTTAGACTAATTACTATTTCATTTAACTTTATAAGGTATCAGGAATGTTTTGACTAATTACTATTTCATCTAACTTTATAAGGTATCAGGAATGTTTTGACTTTAAAACAGTAGGACTATTTAGTATCTTTTTCAAATAATAAACTATTTATTTTGGTCTGGATTCTAGAATAGATCTATAAATTATAAATAGATGTGTAAATCATTCATTCAGATAGGGTCAGATGGTGTGACGTCATACTTTTGCATTATAAAAAAACAATGTTAGAAAACCAACTTTAACTGTTTTAATAAAATGTAATAGAAATTGACTAAAATACTCTTGATTGACAAAGTTTAGAAAAGATTTTGGAAATACATCAATGATTTAAGAAAAATGCAACTGCAAATTTTGAGGGGGGGGGGGGGGGGGGGGGGGGTTTAGGATGAGGTGTGGCGTCAGTTTAGGGGGGGGGGGTGTTTCTGGCCTTTTATGATGATGTGTGGCGGAGGGGTCAGCACTGTGTCAAGTAAATTATTTCCCAAGTTCTAACTGCGCTAGAAACATTCATATTCTGACATAGGCCTTGGCCTAAAAATTCTTTTTAATCTATATATATAATTCTCTATGTGGGACCATGTGGGACACCACTACCACTACCACATATGCACGCCGACCCTCCCCCTCTCTCACTCTCCAGGCATGAGCAACAGACCCTATTGTTATCACCCCCACCCCCAGCAGTCTGGTGAGCTGTGGTCAGGGTCCATAGCCAAATCCCAAAAGAAAATTCAAGGCTTTTTCAAGGTTTTCAAGGTGATTTTGGGGGGAATTTCAAGGTATAAACTACCACTAACGGGCATTACAATGAGGGTGATGTATGTTTTTTGCACACACAATTTTTGAAATAATGTTGGTGTTATTACAAAATTATCAAAGTCAGGAGATTGTCTGAGAGTCCAGCATAATCCCTTTTGCAATCAGTATCTTTGGTGTCAAATGACACTCCTCCAACTTCTATTTTCAGAAAAACCTCTTTCAACACTGGCTTGACCATGGGACAGAAGCAATAGATGTCTAACAATTTTCCAAATGTTCACATAAGAAATTTTGCTACCAAGCTGTTCTATGAAAAAAATGTCCAGCCTATCATGTTCTAAATTAGATTTAGATAGACAACCATTTAGAGTACATGTATCTATGAATGTTGAAAATTGAAACAGAACTTGGTCACACTCAGCTGATTCAGTTTCCATTTGTTGACTAGGATGTGAAGAATTCCCTTCATTTTTTTGGTGAACTGGCTCTATTTTTAAACATTTGCATTAGGCTAAGTCTCTTACTAATGACTAAAGTAATGGAGATTTCAACAAAAAAATTTGATGAAAATCCTATCAAAGTTGTCTTACAATCAGATTTCAAATTGAGAATTTGAAGCTCACTTGCTTTTTTTATTTTTTCTAGAGACTTTATTAGAGAGTCAGCAACAAACCCAACTTCAATTGAATGACTTGTCAATGTCAAGTGATAATCAGAATCAGGTCATTATACATAAAAGGAAGCATTGGTTCGTCTGTCTGATAGTCCTTTAAAAAGGACTCTGCACACATATTCCTTTAAAAAGGAGTCTGCACACATATAGAAACAAAAAAAAAAACCTAGCTATGCTTGTAGAAATTATCCTGCTTAATGTCATAAATGACCTCACGCTTTTTAAAAGATTATTACCTCTCCCCCCCCCCCCTCCGTCACACATCACAAAAAGCCAGGCCCCGGCCTCAAAAAATGACGTCACACCTCAGCCTATAACCCCTCCCACACCCCCCCCCCCCCTTGATTGCAGTTCAATTTTTCTTAAAATAGGATTTTTTTTCCCAAAATCTTGTCTGAACTCTGTCAAAATAGAGTATTTTAATCAATTCCTTTTAAAAATTTATTAAAACAGTTTTCTAAAATGCTAAAATTCGTTTTCTAACATTGCTTTTTAATAATGCAAAAGTGTGATGTACCACGATCTGACCCCCCCCCCCCCAATCCCCTCATCACACACCGTCACACGATTACGGATCCCCCCTCCCCCTACGAGTGTGACGTCATTTATGGACAACCCCAATGTCCCCACCTATGATATGCATGATGACGTAAAGAAATATCGTGGAAGTTTTAAGTTAGTTCATATCGCGGAATAACAAAATTAAGTTGTTTTTTTTTTAACAATTTCACAAGTAACTACGATAGTAATACTCATGTCAGAGATGTAGCCGCCCGACAAAGTGAAAAGCGGATTTTTTTTTTACAAGCGGATGGGAGGGGGCAGTGACAGCGGCAATTTTCTCAAACACGGTAATTCGAGGCTTCTTAAACATTTCAAGGACGTTTTACCACAGTAAAATTCAATTAGATCTAGACCCTGCTAGATGGTGTAACTAAATTATAGCAGACCTACATATTTTGTTCAATGACCTAAAACGATGCAGATCTAGATCTAGTTTTTGTTTTCGCTTAAATCTAGCAGTAAGCCCAATATTAAAGATAACCACGTTAAAATTAGATAAACAGCGTTTGTAGAACTGCCTTGACCGTGAGACACTACTGTGCTCGCGCGTGGTCTCGTGTCATAGGTCTTACGGTCAGCGCGACCTTGAAGTGAGAGGTAGTAAAAAGTGTCCGTAAAGTTGAGTGAAAACAGCACAGTCATAGTCCTTCAAATTATTTTTCTTTTCTTTTGATAAATACAAAATTTTTTTTACGTCGGCGCAAAATCTTTCCTTTTTTTAAGAAGACAATCGGCGATGCTAATGAGCTGGTAATGTTAGGATTTAGTTTATTTTAATTACATAGCCTAGCGGTAGCCCATTGTTGACGTCACATAATTAATGCGAATTTTACCCCAACCTATATCGTCATAAATAACCAGACAGCCACGTCAAGAATGACATCAAAAAGTTCTGTCTACAGCCTCACCCATCTGATACAGTCAATGTGTATTTGGTCCATAGCGCACGTGAGATTGACGATTACGTCATTTGCCATTGGTTTTTTTTAACGAACGTGATTAATATGCCTATTGGCATTAGGAAATCTTGTTGGTTAATAGTTATTGGTTGATTGTTATGATTGAAGATGTTTGAAACCATAGAACCGGATAACACGGAAATTTAACACAAGAAAAAAAAAAGGTCGACACTAAATCGATTTTGATGTTTACTGTGGGCTTTTGCGTAACATTTGCGGCCTAATGCCGCAACAGGTTTGTCAAAATCGAAAAATTTACGGGCAAAACCGTACAAGTAGGTAGGCCCTAACAGAAAACAATGAATCTAGATCTAGAATCTAGTAACTCGTTCGTAAACGGAGATACCCGAAAAAACGATGCTAAATTTAGCCCTCGGCTATCGTTTACGTCACGATCAAGAATCTAGGTTAGGAAGAGCTTATGCAAAACTGGTCAGGTTGAGGTCATAGCGCACGCTCAGCGAAGGAGAGGGTTGGAAATAGTAGACTCCGAAGTTAACGCAGACCCACGGCAAAAAAAAAAAAAAAAAAAAGCCAGAAAAATTTTAGATCCATCAGAATTAAAAATTTTTTTTAAATTCGATTTACGCACTGTTTTCAAGGTTTATCTATAAAATTCAAGGGGTTTTGCTCATTTTTGGGGAAATTCAAGGGTTTTTCAAGGCCTTGAGATGTTTTTTGGAATTCAAGGGTTTTTCAAGGATTCAAGGTCCGCTACGGACCCTGTGTGGTTCACGCTAAATGTTTACAATCGTAGAGCCGGGGGCAAATTAGTGACGGCTATTCATCATCATCATTATTCCTATATGGCCCCTGGGGAGCAAAGGGCTGCAACCACACATCTCCAGCGGACTCGGTTTTGGGCTGCTCCTCTAATCTGTGCCCATGAGAGCCCAGCTGTTTTTGCCTCTTCCTCAACCGTTCTCTTCCATGTTTTCTTTGGTCGGCCCACCCTCCTTTTCCCCTGGGGATTCCAGTCCAGTGCATGTTTTGCGATGTTTTCTTTTTCTTTTCTTAACGTGTGTCCAATCCATCCCCATTTCCGGGCCTTAATATCTTTCTCTATTGGCTGTTGCTTTAAAATTTGCCACAGGTCTTTGTTTGATACTTTGTCCGGCCATCTTATTTTGAGTATATGTCGTAGGCATTTGTTTACGAACGCCTGTAGCCTATCAGTATTTGTCTTCGTAACCCTCCAGGTCTCCGAGCCATAGAGTAGCACTGCTTTAACATTTGTGTTGAAAATCCCAATTTTCCTCCGGAGTGACAGGGCCGTGGACCTCCACATCGGGCGCAGCGAGTTGAAGGCACATCTAGCCTTGTTGATACGGCATTTTATGTCCTCGTCTGCTCCCCCGTCCTTATTGATCACGCTTCCCAGATATGTGAATGTGTTTGTTTCTCGTAAATCTTCTCCATTTAGCTGTATGGGCAGGTCCTGGCTGTTATTGATTCTGATGACCTCTGTTTTGTTTTTATTGATTTTTAGCCCAATTTTGGAGGCTTCTTCAGACAGCCGATTTAGTTTGGCTTGCGTGTGTTGATGCTTATGAGATAGTAGGCAGATGTCATCGGCAAAATCAAGATCCTCCAACCTTTTTGTAAAACTCCACTGGATTCCTGTGTCATTTTTTGTGGCCCTCAGCATGATCCAGTCGATTACCATCAAGAATATCATTGGCGATAGCATACATCCCTGTCTTACTCCTGTCGTCACCGTGAATGGTTTTGTTAGCTTTCCCTTGTGTATTACCTGACTGGTGGGTGACGGCTATTAGGGGCAGATAATTTAGTTTTTAAACAATTTGAAACTAAGGGGAGGTAACAAGTTCTGATTGATCTTTTCATTGTTGTCCGTAAACTGTCATCACAGACAGAGGGGGGAGGGGGGGGTGAGGATAATCATCCTTCACGAGATACTAATAGTGTTTTCAGTAGCGTACGCAGGGGGGAGCAGGGGGAGCGGCCGCTCCCCCTCTGGCCATTTTCAGCAAAGTGGCGCCTTTTTGGAAACTTTTTAAATTCAAAGTTTTAAACAATGATATTTGTTAAAAAAATATTTTTGTTCGGCACATCTATGTAAATCAAAAGATTTCTTTTCATGCAGCAATTAAGCATTATTGTTCTAGTCTAGTAGTGTTTACGTTTACAACACGTATTAACAGCTGCATCAGTTTACCTTTCTAAAAATAACCATTACGATGTATTGCAATGTTTAAAATACCTCTACGGTAGTACCACTTGGCAAGAGGGGTGTTAAGTTTAAGGCAACTGTATAATGTATTTGCTTACGAATAATTGAATTAAAAAATGTTATACATAAAACTTCACACATAATTACTTTATATATACAGTTTGAATCGTGTGATTAATTTAAAAAAAATTACAATACAGAAACAGTTTGAGCGATAGTGATTACGATTACAAATTATATGAAACAGTTACAACCCCCCCCCCCCCCCCCCCATGGACCCCTCTGTAAAAAAATTATTGTCATAATACCACTGCTACTTATTTAAATCTATTTCTGTAATATATATTTGTGTAATATATATTTGTGTAATATATATTATGTATGTTTAGAACAGTCATCTAAAAACTGATGCTATGTTCACTCTGAGTTGGTTATCTCCCCCCCTCCCCCCCCCCCCCCCCCCCCACACACACACCTCACCACCACAATTGTGTAGATCGACATTAATGTCACACCTAGGTATACACTGGGTTGGATAATAGACCTAAAGTGAACGGACAGTGGTGCATGAAGTTGAACCCATCCCCCCCCCCCCCCAACCCACCCCGAACTGATCTGTTAAGTACATGTAGAGAACGCGTAATGATGTACCATAGTACCATGCCGCCAGAAAATTAGCTTTTTAAACGTAAAACTCTGTGAATATTGTTTTTGAAATTACCAGTAAAAAAAGGTGTGTGATCAATACAGTGATCTAACCCATACCTATCACTATGTTTAAAAAATGATCTTTAAAGAACACAAAGAAGCAGTAGATAATTGAAATATATGAATTAGTACTGAAAGACAGATATTCAGTTATATGTAGGCTGTTATTCCGAATGTTTTTCTAATATATCGAAAAGCGTGCTTTTATACCAACTCTGATTTTAAAAACTTTCATTATGCTGTAATACTTTAGCATTTATGATGACGATATATTAAATTCTGATTATAGACAAAAACATTTTGTAAACACAAATAGCCTTAAACAATTTCATTATATTCTAAAGTAATTATTTATTTGTATTGACATTTACAATTAAATGTGTGAATATATACATATTTATATTAAGAGAGTGATTATTTCCCCTATTTACCTTGTCTTAAATAATTTCCCAGGAATTATTATGTAAGAAATTTTGTTTACAAGAATTACAAAACAGATTGTGTTACGTTCATTGTTTTTGGTTGTAGTGTATATATATATATATATATATATATATATATATATATATATATATATATATATATATATATATACATTGTTTAGATTGATACAATTTTTGTTTTGTCGGCCAACATTGTGTGTTTTTTCTTATTTCGTCAGAGTGCTACTTTCAATTTATTTTACATCATAGCGAATTAATGACATACAGCTATATATATATATATATATAATACACGTATATAGAACGTGTTAAAAATTCGGCGCCTTTTTTGTTCTTTTCGCTCCCCTACAACGAAAACCTGGATACGCCTCTGAGTGTTTTAAAGCACAATATTTTCAGTCGCAGCAAGTAGAAAATAAAACAACTAAATAGCTGCGTATGTTATACAGCAGGTCGGCTCGTTCTATATAATTCGGTATCATTAGAAAGCATGCATTTTTAGAGCATGTATTATTTTTAAGGAAAAATTTAAAGAAAATGACAAGTAACAGCACTAGATTATAGCTCAGTGTTTCTTCCAGACTTTTTTCTCTGGGGGGGGGGGGGGGCACTTGAAATTTTCGGGGGGGGGCGGTAGACTTTCTTCGGGGGAGCGGGGGGGGGGGCGGACACTGTTAAAAGTATATATTTTATATATAAATTATATAAATTTCATTTTGTTCGAGGGGGGGGGGGGGGGGCGGTAAAATTTTTTCTAACACAGCATTGTGACTTCATTGTCATTGTATTGTTGTAATAAAACTAAAACATCACTTAAAACTGCTCTAAAACGGTAGTAAAATAAAACGTCCTTTTGAAAATTTTAGTAACCTAAATCCCTAAATCTAAATCAGTAAATCTAGATCTATAGTTCTAAGCTTTTACTAGATCTAGATCTAGTAGTAGATCTAGATTATATCCTATGACGTAGATCTATATGTAAGGTCTATACTAGATCTATAATAAAGCAACTAGATCTAAATATTATAACTAGATTTCTAGATCTCCATCACTTGCCTGTCATGGGGCTAGACTGGTAGAATCTACATTTCCGAATTTGCATTTTTAAGAAATGCAGAACTGTTTTATTGCGCAAATACCTAGTCTAGATCTATAAATAGACTTTTCGGTCGCCTTTACAGTTCAGGATTTTCCCGTTTCAGGTTTACCAGAGATGTCGATGATACTACGCCTAAATATTATTATTAAATAATAACTAGATAGACTATGTAAATGATGTTTCCTTACGAAAATGTAATTAAATAGCCGGATATAAGGCCTACTTATAACGTACGGTAGTATTTTATTGATGACAAACTGCACATAGATATTATTCAACCAAAATATATGATGACATATTTTCAATGACAGCGGGGTTAATGATGAGTTGGATGATGCAAGTCTTCGAATGGGAATGCCGCCTCTTCTTTGCCTTTAGATTTTAGATCTACTTCTAGATCTAGATCTAAATCATAGATAGAGAAAATAGATCTTATCTAGATCTAGTAGATCTAAATCTAGGTGTAACAACATTTTTTTTTTGCAGCTCTAGCAACTAAATAGTTAGTTACTAAATAGCCAATAGGCTTACTCGTTGGTCAGATCTTATATAATATTAAAATTATATAGGGTGACTCACCACTTAAATTCACATGACACCAACGTGTCACACAGCTTAATTCACGCGACACAAAGGTGACACACCACTTAAGTTCACATGATTCAAACGTGTCACACAGCTTAATTCACATAATACCTAGGTGCAGTGGCGTAGCGAGGTCGGGTGTCACCCGGTGCGGCACTTAATAGTGTCACCCCCCGAGGCGTAGCGACCCTTCCCGGGGACAAACTTTCAATTTTCGATTTGCACCCCCCCCCCCCTCAAACTTTCAATTTGCACCCCCCCCCTCAAACTTGCGATGTGCACCCCCCTCAAACTTTCGATTTGCCTCTATTTAACACTCGAATTAATCACTTAATTAAAGGGGGGTCCGTAATTTTGTGACGGTGTGTGATGAGGGGTAGTGGGGGGGGGGGGAGGGGGTTCAGATGGTGCGACGTCACACTTTTGCATTATAAAAAAGCAATGTTAGAAAACTAATTTTAGACGTTATTTCGCGTAATAGGAATTGATTAAAATACTTTATTTTGACAAAGTTCAGACAGGATTTTGGAAAAATGTCGATGTTTAAAAAAAAATTCAACTGCACTTTTGAGGGGGGTTGTAGGCTGAGGTGTGATGTTATTTTAGGGGGCGGGGTCTGGCTTTTTGTGACGATGTGTGACAAAGGGGAGGTAAAAATCGTCAAAAAAAGCGTGACGTCATTTATGGATGACATCCAAGGTGTCGCACCACTTAATTCACATGACACCAAGGTGTCACACAGCTTAATGCACATAATACCAAGGTGTCGCACCACTTAATTCACATAATACCAAGGTGTCGCACCACTTAATTCACATAATACCAAGGTGTCGCACCACTTAATTCACATAATACCAAGGTGTTGCACCACTTAATTCACATAATACCAAGGTGTCGCACCACTTAATTCACATGACACCAAGGTGTCACACAGCTCAATTCACATAATACCAAGGTGTCGCACCACTTAATTCACATAATACCAAGGTGTTGCACCACTTAATTCACATAATACCAAGGTGTCGCACCACTTAATTCACATAATACCAAGGTGTTGCACCACTTAATTCACATAATACCAAGGTGTCACACCACTTAATTCACATGACACCAAGGTGTCACACAGCTCAATTCACAGTGAATCAGGGACAACAGCAATTTTCTAATATGAAAATAAAACCACCAATGTTTCTCCCAAAACTAGCTTTAATTTGTATTACAACACCAACAATAACAAATAGAATTTTTTTTAAATGTGAATTTTATTACTTGTGAACATTTTCAAAGTAGGCATTCATTTTGTAATCAAAATATATAGTGTATCAAAATATTCAGTTTTTGAAGAAATATAGTAAAACAGTTTTTATTGAAATATAGTAAAATAGTTTTTATTGAATAATGGAAATTTGTGATTGAAATTGTCATGCTTAGTTTAATACTGGCAAAAATTGTACATCTGTGAATTTAGCAGTTATCTGGGTCAGCTAAAGATAGATAATAAAGATAGGATTCCACAATAATAAAGGGTCCATAATAAATTTAATTTTTTAATGTGCTCTGATAAATTATAACACTATTCTGCAAATATTTAACACTCATTATCCCTGACCCAAATGAAAGCAGCACTTGTGAACACCAAGTTGCCTGTTTAGAGCAAATGTATTTCTGCATGTCTCCATATATCATGTCAGTATATTTTCTGCATGTAATATGACAGCTTGTATCATGTCAATGTGTATCACCACATGCAGATCTATCAAAGAAAGTATTTTTTTATCTTGGGGCATATTTTTACTTCAAGTATGCATACACCACATGAATCTTGATTGGAAAAGGAAATTCCACACCATGTATAAATAGAATGGGAAATTCCAACAGTCCATCAGAAAATATCTAGGAAAAAAGTTTCAACTAAAGTAGTTGGTGGCCAGACTAAACAATAATTGAAACAGTCTAGATATGTATACACAGATAATTAGTCTGATTAGGTTAGTGTGTGACATGTTTACAAGACTGAATTAACATGCATTAGTTCTGAGATGGTGATCAATATACAAATTATTAGTACTTGTTATATATTTTCACCTGATTTGTTATGCAGTAATGATGTTATATTGTTTGATGTAAAAATGTGATGTGGTAAGCTTCATACAAATGTAGAAAATATTATTTTTTAAAACAAATTTAAAAAATTAAAACATTTAAAAAAGTTTTACCTAGAAACAACTTCATGCTATGATGTTCTTTACTATGTAATGCAAGATGGGGCTAGACTGCAGAGAGCTCACGCTACAGAATAATATGTGACCACACACTAACCTGTCCCCACAGAAAATTGTGTTGACCACACACTAACCTGTCCCCACAGAAGATTGAGTTGACCACACACTAACCTGTCCCCACAGAAAATTGAGTTGACCACACACTAACCTGTCCCCACAGAAGATTGAGTTGACCACACACTAACCTGCCCCCCACAGAAAATTGTGTTGACCACACACTAACCTGTCCACACAGAAATTTGAGTTGACCACACACTAACCTGTCCCCACAGAAAATTGAGTTGACCACACACTAACCTGTCCCCACAGAAGATTGAGTTGACCACACACTAACCTGTCCCCACAGAAAATTGAGTTGACCACACACTAACCTGTCCCCACAGAAAATTGAGTTGACCACACACTAACCTGTCCCCACAGAAAATTGAGTTGACCACACACCAACCTGTCCCCACAGAAAATTGAGTTGACCACACACTAACCTGTACACACAGAAAATTGAGTTGACCACACACTAACCTGTCCCCACAGAAAATTGAGTTGACCACACACTAACGTGTCCCCACAGAAAATTGAGTTGACCACATACTAACCTACCCCACAGAAAATTGAGTTGACCACACTAACCTGCCCCCCACAGAAAATTGAGTTGACCACACCCTAACCTGTCCCCACAGAAAATTGTGTTGACCACACACTAACCTGCCCCCCCCCCCCCCCCCACAGAAAATTGAGTTGACCACACACTAACCTGTCCCCACAGAAAATTGTGTTGACCACACACTAACCGACGGCCCCCACCCCACATAATATTAAGTTGACCAGGGAGTTTATGAACCTAACGACTGTGTTAAAACAAATTCTCCATGGAAAACATAATCCAGCTCACACAGCAATCATAGCATGCATCAACACACCAAACTACACCAGCACACAAAATTCATTGCACAACCTATGCCTGGATTTACTTTTTTTAAACATGGAATGCAGTTAGATGACCAGAGGACCTTCCATCAAGTATTTAGAGAAAATGTGACGATACCACAAGACTTTACCCACAGGAAATGTGAAGATGACCACAGGACTTCCCCTCACAAAATGTGAAAATAACAACCCCCACAGGAAATGTGATAATGACCACAAGACCTTCTCCCACAGAAAATGTGAAGATGACCAAAGATAATGTGGAATTTCCCACTCTGAGATAAACAAACGTCAAATATCACTTTTTTTTTAATGTGAATAAAAATAGTCCTATGACTTATGTCATTTATAGCCACTTTTTCATGAAAATTTGGAATCAACACAATATTTTCTAAAACTCTAGCCTAAACCCAGAAAGAAAAAGGGAAAAATTCTCAGTAAAATTTGATCTCTAATTCTGGATTTTAAAATTTTTAACACATCCCACAGGTAAAGTTTTTTTAATCAGTTGGTCAAAGTGATTGGCAGCATTAACAACATCAATTTAAATGACGTGAAATTACAGCTCTGTTATAAATAAAACTAAATAACATTTTAAATTTAAGGTTAAAAATTAATAACATGAACGTGAATCTATAATTTAAAAAAGTAAACGTACTATGTTGAATTACATAAATAAATTTCAAGTAATTGTTTGTATTTATTTTAAAAATTTAAGCAATAGAAATTGCACATTTATTTTATGTTAACAGCAATCAACGTAAAGGCACATATGTAAAATTATCAAATGACAAAAATTTTAAAAAATAATTTTATTTTACAAAGACTGCTACAAGGTGAGCGCAACACAATTTTCTCTGACATAAACAACACTAAACCTGCCCATCCCTGAAGTGTGGAAAGATCCAGACAATATTATGCTCCCACTGTGCCCTCGTGAAAAATGGGCTTCAACTCTTACGGATGATGATATCAAGTAAAAACCATTAGAGGTCCGTAAACATCTTGGATTTGAAAGTAAACATCTTGGATTTTACAGTAAATTGTAAGTCTTAACATTGTAAAATATTTCAAAAAATAATGTAAAAATGACAATTTATGGTGATTGCAAAATCCCATTTGAACAAGGCAAAAAAATGACAAAAATTAAAGGGTGACAACACATTCTTAAAAATATTTTGCTCAAGGTTTGACATATTGTATACTGTGAATACTTCTGAAAATTAGTTTTAAATGCACTAATTAAAGTTAAAAGGAGATGTAAGTCTATTTCTTAGTTTTGTTATTTTAGGAAACAAATTAACTAGTACTTGGGTTGGGCAAAAAGTAAAAATAATTTTTCATTTAAATATTTTATGTTATGATGTCGGTAGATATATAAAGAAGTAACATTAAAATATAAGATTAATTAAGTACAAACATTTTAAGTTCACATATTTCTATCAGTTAACATTCACTTTTATAGGCTTATTCTTATTACAAATTTAATTTTAAATGCATGAGTTAATTTAATTCAGAAATTTTTATGTTTTTTTATTCAATATTTTAAAAATAAAAATGTATTATGCAAATATCACACAAACTAAATTCTCCTCAAGTTTTGATAATTGAACGCAAGTTTCTAGAAGTCTTTAAGTCATAAGGAATGATGTCACACTGCCTGAGCACAACAGGCTCAGCCTACACAACTGGCAGTTAAACTGGATCCTTCGTTCAACTGATATGAAAACTTTAGGGATAACTCAATAAATAACAAAACAATATTTAAAAAATGTTATATACAGTGGAATAAATCAATATTTTAGTAACTTAATTTGCCATTGATAAAGTGGAATTTAGGAGGAAATTTTGAATGATATGTTAAAACAGTCTAGTTGTAAACAGTGATAAGGCAATGCAAGATAAAATAGTTCTTTAAGGCAAGACACTGTGTAGGGAGCCATCATTTAGCAGATGCGCCACCTCCTAGTTGAGCAGTTTCAGTTCTTTAGCTGTTCTATGGAGCAAAATTTTATCATGGGCCTTTTCATCTAGGATTCTGCTTGCATCTAAGTTAGAGTTGGGTAGGAATGTTACCAGTGGTCTGTCCTGGGATAAAAACATTAGAAAAAAATTTAAAAGTTGAAAATTATTAAAATGTCAAAAAACAGATTAAATACACATGATAACTAAGAAAACAGAGAAACAAAAAAGCCGGACACAAATATGACATGTAACCTATTATTTTTAGAGATGGTTTTGATTAGTTGTTTGATTAAGTTCCACACAAAAATTAAACATTAAAATAAAGAAAATAAAAAAACACTGTTAAAATAAATGTAAAGCACGTTCATTAGCGAACAGCTAAAAACTAGAGGTCTACAAAATTTATGCTAAGGAATACATTTGGCAACAGGAATCCATTGTTAAATTATACTAAGTTTGCCTAAAACAACTGATTACATAATTAACACATCTGATTGATTAAATTCCTTACTACTAGTGTTTGAATCAGCTTGAGGCAAAAAAAATTAAATTTGGTGTCAGCTACTTGGTTGATTGGCGGACTTAGTAACATTTGTACAATGGAATCCTTTTTATTCTTGGGATTATTTCTTTTACCAACAACATTTAAAGTTTAAAAAAATAATTAACAATATAAAATAGTACATTAAGATTGATATTTTTTTTATTAATCTAAAAGAACTATTTCTTTACTTTTTTTTTTATTCATCTGAAAAGATTCATGTATTGTTTTTAATCTAAAAATTAAAAAGTGTGCATCCTAAGTCCCAAGAGATAAATGTTATTGCCATACAACAAAAATGCAGCTAGAAAGCACAACTAAACAAATGCAGGGATTAGAAAATTACTTACGAAACAAAGAGAAAAAAAAACAAAGTTGGCATGCTCAGTGTTAGTAAGGGTAAGAATATGAGTTCTTGCCCCTGTGACTGCTGCTAGACCTGCCATCATGCACTGATGGGTAGGCTGAGGCCAGGTCATGGTACTGGTGTCCATTGTACTTGGGCGGGGGCATGCCCTGGTTCTCTACATACGGTGGTGGCAGGTGCTCGGGTTTGGTCTCGTGGTGGTACCCGGCGTTGGACATTCCAGCGGGGTAGTGCTGGTGGGCGGTCCTGCGTGTCTGCTGGTCAACACTGTGAGCAGTCAAGCATGGCAGTCAGTGAGAAGCAGCAGGTGAGAGAAGGTGTTATCAAGACAAACAAATGCAAGCTAGAGATGACTGATGGCCCCTCCCCTAAGTGAAGCCAGTCCAAGCCAGTGACAGATGACCAGCCCCCAGTAATCCAACATGAAGCCAAGGTCAAGCTTTAAACTACTACTGGGACCACAAGGAAGAGCCCATTCAATAACTGGGGGGGGGGGGGGGGGGGGGGTGTTAAAAAATAATTGTGTCTCAAAAATAATTTACATTGAAGGAAGATAAAAAAAATCTAATCAGCAAAATTTTAAAAACAAAAGTGAAGTGGCTATTCAGTAAAATAGATGTTTAAACCACAGGCGAAATAAAATGACACAGGATTTCTGCATGTACCATAATTCTGTGTACCACAACACGACCATTTGTGACAAGGATTTCAACAGCATGTATTGATTATAAGACTGAGTCTGAAAAACAAGTAGCAAGAGGAAAATCCACCACCTAAGAGAGTTGTTTTACATGTTAACTAGCTGCCAGTTGCACACGCTTACTAAAATCAGACCTAAGGCTAATTCAGTCAGTTCTAAAAAAATAAGCAGCGCGTGTAATTGGTTCTTCTGTCAAGTTTAACACTAGGATTCTATATGAGAAGCAACACATATATTTCAGGGATATGTTCAAGGGTAAATCACATCTATTTACACTGACAAAAAATTTGAACATTTTTTTTAAACTTGGGGGAAAAAGTAATTGAAAAAAGTTCACTAAATAAAAGAAAAAAAAAATCTATTTTTTTCTCAAAAGAACCAAGTAGTATTATTGAAAGCCTACGACAAAAGTGTTTAAAAAGAACCAAGTATGTTTTAATAAAAGCAAACTAAAAATATATTTTAAAATGTACATTAGACTCCGCCAGCAAATGTGTCATATATGGGAACTTGATTCTGACCAGAAGTCAGACTGACCAAGGACTTGAATGAAGTAATGATTATCTGAACGGGTTCTGCTGAAATAAGAGACACATCAAAGATGCTGCAATCCTGAGGGTGCGGTCTAAGACAGCTGTTTACCTCAAACTACTAGACATTCAATCTCATCAACGGAATTTTTCAAACAATTGATTCATTTAGATGTTACCTAATGTAGTAGTTTTATACTAAAGATTTTTTAAAGTTAAACAGAGTAAAAAAATGTAATGAAAATTTTCTATCATGCCAATCATGGTGTTGATTATTGGTACATTCCATAACATATAAGGGCATAAATGCCATAGAAAAAGCCCACTCTTGTTTTCAACAAGTCTGAACTTGAGGGGATGAAAGGTTTATTATTGTTACACCACAAAATTTCTGTTTAAAAACATTTGAAAAGTAAGTATAACAGATGTATTTAAGTTAGTAGCTGGGATGATCTTAAAAAAATTAACAGAAAATAGTGACAAAAGAATACCCATTACATAACACCAAACAGCTTTATATTACATAAAATGAGTAGTAAGAAAAATATTTAAAAATTTTATTCTCTGTCCTGCTAAAAATAATTAGCAGCAAAAAAATTCTACAAATAATTTTAATTCATTAAAACTTCCTATAGACTTTGTTAACCCATCTAAATTTTTCAAAACAGGAATATATTCAGTTTTTTTAGTTAGGAAAAGGATTAGTCTAAACCTACCCCCCCCCCCCCCCCCCCCCCCACCCCAATCTAGATCACTGGCTGACACCCTGGCAGTAATCACAGAAATGAATATTTACTTTTCTGCATTTCAGTCTGTTGATTGTAATGTCAGATGATGGAGATGTGATCTTTTAAATAAGGCTAACTAAAGAAACTGTGTTAGATTGTAAAGACAAATCAAAATGCAACAGTATGGTGCACGGCAAAAATTCATTCATTAGTCAATACAGGTAACTTGCACAAAGCCAAAAATACATTTTCTAATATTAGTGGCTAATTTAATCAGAGGCTAATTTAATCAGTGGCTAATTTATTCTGTGGCTAAATTACACAACCAGCAAGGAGAAAAAAAGACTAAGAGAAAATGTGTTAGTAAGAAACAGACTGAGATAAAGAAATCAGATCTTATCGTTGCCAAATTTGATTTGGTAAAAAGACCCATAAAATTCTGTCTGGAAAAATGTTTTGTTATTTGTTTTTTTCCATGAACCAAATTTTAATCACAGAAAAAATATTCAACAAAGGTTAAACATTAAATTATTTTTAAAAATATTACAAATCTTAAAAGTAACAGATTCTTTTTGTTCAATTAGTATAAAAATTCCAAGGAAATGTATATAATTATGATGTTGATATTTTTCGGACTGATTAGTTCAAAATGTAAACAAAAGTATAGCAAAAAGCAATTTTTTCGGGCTGTTTGGTTCAAAGGTAAAAAAAAAAGGGAATATTGAAAAAAGCCAGTTCCAGAATCAACAAAAACGTGTGGTGCCAGGAATGAAAAGGTTTTGGCATGCACCAGACCGTACGCACTCACTTTACAGGGTCTTATGTATAACTTGCGACACGTTTAAATACCTAATAAAAAAATAAGTGGAAGAAACATCAACATCTACTTCTGTGATGCCACTTCAAGAATGTGCTTTTCAATTAGTTAGTCAAAATTTATTTTTGTTACAAAAATGAACAATTTAAAAAAAATGGTTTATAAAATGATTAAATAAAAAAATGTAGTTTTAAAAAAAGCTCTAAAAGCATATTTGGGAGAAGGTTAAAAATAAATGAAACATGTCTGTAGGTAAGACAAACCCAAATATCTTTGGCCACATGCCTTTAGCCAGATATCTTTGCCCTGATATCTTTAATGTTTAGCCAGATATCTTTGCCCTGATATCTTTAATATTTAGCCAGATCGGTAATCTATCGTTTTGGGTACGTAAAATCGCCCGCGGCTAGAAATGCGCGAAAAAGTTGCCTCACTGTCAAGGCTTTAATAGAAGTATATTGTGATATATTTTTGTCAAATATTATAGATAAATGAATAATAAACCTAAATCAATGGCTAAATATATCAATATAGACCAGAAATTAACTTTAAATAGCAGTGTTTGCGAGCAAGATTTCCTATATAAACAGCAGCCATTTGTAAAATAGAGTTGCCTTCCCCTGAATCTGGCGCTTTAAGTTTGCAAAAAAAGAACTTAGACAAGATGGCTGCTAGAGTAAATGAGCATGGTTGCATCTGTTGGAAACATCGCTAGTCTTCATTTATTACTGAAAAGTTTCAATTCAGTTGTTTAAAAACAGGTACATAAATGAAACAAGGAATCATTTTTGTATTTTTCAAAACATATATCCTCCTCAAAATGTGAAATAATTATTAAAATTCAAGGAGTCACCTGTCTTTCACATTACTAGTCGCGGGCGATTTTACGTACCTAAAACGATAGATTACCGCCAGATCTATCTTTGCCCCATATCTTTGGCCAGACATTTGGTCAGATGTAGTTGTCTTAGCTTGGTCTAACTAAAGCAACATGTGTGGACATACCTGGTTAGGGGAATGGTGTCTTGGTTGGAGCCTCCATACATTGGGTAGTGGCTGGGTTGGAGAGAGAAACAAAGTCGTTAAGGTGTGGGCAGGGTGGAATAATATGGAGTAAAGTTCTAGTTGCTGATGACAACATGGGCTAATACAAACAAGTACATGGTGATGAGAACATGGCCTAATACAAACAAGTACATGGTGATGATAACATGGTCTAATACAAACAAGTACATGGTGATGATAACATGGCCTAATACAAACAAGTACATGGTGATGATAACATGGTCTAATACAAACAAGTACATGGTGATGATAACATGGTTTTTGTACAAGTACATGGTAATGATAATGTTGTCTACAGAATACCCACGGGTCATCAAAGTCTTTCTCATATTTCATCTCTCTGCGGTACTGGCTGGTGAGGAGGATGGCAAAGATGAGGCAGATGACAAAGAAGAAGAGACACCAGCCAAAGCTAAACCAGAGGCCATTCTGTGGGTAAAACATTAGGGTCATCAGTCCTTGAGACATCAATTATTGGACAACCAATGTTAAACAGCTGCAGCTAATGACTAAATAATTAAAAAATTTCTACAGCTAAAAATGTGTGTATGTTAGGCTAGAGCCCAAATACACTAAAATTGCAATATCTGCCAATACTTACAAGTGGATTTATCAACAAAACACAAACAGCATCACTCATGGTAAACACTGCGTTAGATAATGGTGCACAGGGGGCCATGTTCGTTCGAATCTAAGCATAAAAGTCACATCTTAAATCAACATCTTTGTAGATAAAGTTCACATTTTTAACATCTCACTAGGTTAAGCTGACATCTTTTACCATACACCTGATTACTGAGATCTCTCTATGTTTCAACAGAACCCCCCATTAAAGTTGACACGAGAAACCCCTATTAAATTTGACACAGAACCCCCCCCCCCCATTAAAGTTGACACAGAACCCCCTATTAAAGTTGACACAGAAACCCCCATAAAAGTTGACACAGAAACCCCCCATTAAAGTTTACACAGAAACCCCCCATTAAAGTTGACATGAGAAACCCCTATTAAAGTTGACACAGAAACCCCCCATAAAAGTTGACACAGAAACCCCCTATTAAAGTTGACACAGAACCCCCCATTGAAGTTGACACAGAAACCCCCATTAAAGTTGACACAGAAACCCCCCATTAAAGTTGACAACACTCTTCAAGAAATAGACTGACTTGTTGCTTAAATTTTCAAGTTTAGATGCTAACAAAGTCATGCTTAACAAGCAGAGCACAAACCCTATCAATACTATCACACAACACTACCACCCAACCTGCCACACTACCACCCAACCTGCCACACTACCACACAACCTGCCACACTACCAGACAACACTACCACCCAACCTGCCACACTACCACCCAACCTGCCACACTACCACACAACCTGCCACACTACCAGACAACACTACCACCCAACCTGCCACACTACCACCCAACCTGCCACACTACCACCCAACCTGTAACACTACCCCCAACCTGCCACACGACCACCCAACCTGCAACACTACCCCCAACCTGCCACACTACCACACAACCTGCCACACGACCACCCAACCTGCTACACGACCACCCAACCTGCAACACTACCACCCAACCTACCACACTACCACCCAACCTGCCACACAACCACCTAACCTGCCACACTACCACCCAACCTGCCACACTACCACACAACACTACCATGGACATGAGCCCCCACACAACAGCAACCAAGTTTACCTCATGCTTGACATCTGAAAGTTTCTGTTTTGTAGAGTTTATAATATTGTCAGCCAGCACTGAGATTTTCTAAGGTCAATAGAAAAGTTCAGCATGAGAACAAAAATAGAACAACAACAGCTTCATTAATGTTTACTAATTGATGGCTAATCTAGTTCAAAGTAGATCTACGTTTTATACAGTCCTAGGTACATCATTAAAAGAATAGTTATAGTTGAGAGTGCTGCGTCTAACTTACCTGCTGAATAAGAGAGTTCTTGTTGGAGTTGAATCTATTTTGGGCTTCTGTCAAATTTTTTATCAGATCTAATACTTGACTCTGTAACACAAAATCTCAGGAATAATTTTTTTTTAATTTACATTTTCAGGCAATATTGCTTCATCACTGACTAAATATCTGAGAAACAGTGGTTTTTTTTTTAATTAAAATTTTTTTTGGAAAATAAAGTTACCTTTAGAGTGCTTTTTTGTTGCAAGTTGGACAAAGTAACATTAAGTTCGTTCTGAAAGACATACAGAAAACACATTGAGCAGAATACCTAGCACACTCTTCATTGAGCAGAATACCTAGCACACTCTTCATTGAGCAGAATACCTAGCACACTCTTCATTGAGCAGAATACCTAGCACACTCTTCATTGAGCAGAATACCTAGCACACTCTTCATTGAGCAGAATACCTAGCACACTCTTCATTGAGCAGAATACCTAGCACACTCTTCATTGAGCAGAATACCTAGCACACTCTTCATTGAGCAGAATACCTAGCACACTCTTCATTGAGCAGAATACCTAGCACACTCATCATTGAGCAGAATACCTAGCACACTCATCATTGAGCAGAATACCTAGCACACTCATCATTGAGTGGAATACCTAGCACACTCATCATTGAGTGGAATACCTAGCACACTCATCATTGAGTGGAATACCTAGCACACTCTTCGTTGAGCAGCGTACATAGCATGGAGCCTAAGGTGGTGGATGTTCACATTCTACAGTCAAACCAAAACTGACAGAATGATTCCTCTACAGTCAAACACCAAAACTTACAGAATGATTCCTCATCCTGGGCAGGGTCTCATTGTTCAGCTTACTCAGTCTGTCTGCAGAACTCCTGAGCAGATCTATCTTGGTTTGGTTTTTGGTGCTCTGGAGATTTATGGACAAAATTAGTTCATTCCATTGTCAAGCTGGCTTGGTCAGTACAGAGACAACTAGAACCCCCCCCCCCTCAACCCACCAGTCAAGTAGACCCCATCAGTCAAGTAGACCCCACCAGTCAAGTAGACCCCATCAGTCAAGTAGACCTCACCAGTCAAGTAGACCCCATCAGTCAAGTAGACCTCACCAGTCAAGTAGACCCCATCAGTCAAGTAGACCTCACCAGTCAAGTAGACCCCATCAGTCAAGTAGACCTCACCAGTCAAGTAGACCCCATCAGTCAAGTAGACCTCACCAGTCAAGTAGACCCCATCAGTCAAGTAGACCTCACCAGTCAAATAGACCCAAGTAGAAAAAAAAACTAGAACCCCCCCAACCCCATTCCCCAACCCACCAGTCAAGTAGACCCAGACCCCATCAGTCAAGTAGACCCCATCAGAAAAAAAACAACTAGAAACCAACCGAGCTGCTCTCCTTTTCAGCAAATCCATTGACCATCATCACCAAAACTGGAATCTCAGCTATTGTCATATTTTTTTCTAGCTGTGAAATAAATTTAAAATTTATTATGGCAGAAAGTTAGTTGTCGTCTAATATTATGAACAATAATGTTTAGGATAGCGCACACTCAAAAAATCAATGTATTTAGTTTGTTTACTGCCATAAATATTGCATCAATGTATTTAGTTTGTTTAATGCCATAAATATTGCATCAATGTATTTAGTTTGTTTACTTACTGCCACAAATACTGATTGCAAAACAGAAGTCTAAGATTGAACAGTTTATGATTAAAACATTTGTTTGCAATAAAGGAGTGAATGTGGGCAGATGAAGAGATTGCCTTAGAACATGTTTTAGTTCGTCCTTGCTAGAAGTATAGCTGCTTACATCAGACACAGAGACATGTAGGAAGCTCAAACCATTCAGATCACCACAGACACCATACATGCACTAGCTAGCTTTATTGGAACTTGCTTACTGAAGTGGTGATTATTCAGTCAACAAGTTAATTACAGACTCTAGTTAATTAGTGACACTAGTTTCTTTTTTTAATTAGTGACAGCAGAAAACAAAATGTTTAAATGGAACATGGCAACTAGGCCATGACATTAATGCATTATAAACACTACTACATTTCATGACCACAACAGTCATGCATGAAATACAACTCATAAAGCACTACTGCATTAACTCATGACAACAGAAAAACAGGTTAAAGCAGGGCATCAAAGTAAAACTAAAACTACCACAAAAACACAGGGAAATTTAGACACCAAAGAAGAAACAGTAATTGCAAATTTTTAAAAATCAATTTTTTTTAAAATCAAGCTGAAACAATCTAGCTCAGCTCTAAGATCAGCACCCACCTACCACTGTACCCAGCACCCACCTACCACTGTACCCAGCACCATCTACCACTGTACCCAGCACCCATCTACGACTGTACCAAGATTATACCTACCACTACCACTGTACCCAGCACCATCTACCACTGTACCCAGCACCATCTACCACTGTACCCAGCACCCATCTACGACTGTACCAAGATTATACCTACCACTACCACTGCACCCATCTACCAATGTACCCAGCACCCATCTACCACTGTATCAGCCTTCACCTACGACTGTAACTTAACACAGAAACACCAGCTAATATTCCAGTGCATTAAACTTAAAGACACAAAAAGCAGAACTGATCAATTCCTGCCACTCATTTCTGAGGTTAAATGGATGACCATCCCTGTCCACTTACAGTAATGGCCACCCTGTCCACTTACAGTAATGACCACAGTCCATGGATGGCCATCCCTGTCCACTTACAGTAATGTCCACCCCTGTCCACTTACAGTTATGACCATCCCTGTCCACTTACAGTTATGACCATCCCTGTCCACTTACAGTAATGCCCATCCCTGTCCACTTACAGTAATGACCATCCCTGTCCACTTACAGTAATGACCATCCCTGTCCACTTACAGTAATGACCATCCCTGTCCACTTACAGTTATGACCATCCCTGTCCACTTACAGTAATGACCATCCCTGTCCACTTACAGAAAACACCACAGTCCATGGAAGGCCATCCCTGTCCACTTACAGTAATGTCCACCCCTGTCCACTTACAGTTATGACCATCCCTGTCCACTTACAGTTATGACCATCCCTGTCCACTTACAGTTATGACCATCCCTGTCCACTTACAGTTATGACCATCCCTGTCCACTTACAGTTATGACCATCCCTGTCCACTTACAGTTATGACCATCCCTGTCCACTTACAGTTATGACCATCCCTGTCCACTTACAGTTATGACCATCCCTGTCCACTTACAGTTATGACCATCCCTGTCCACTTACAGTTATGACCATCCCTGTCCACTTACAGTTATGACCATCCCTGTCCACTTACAGTTATGACCATCCCTGTCCACTTACAGTTATGACCATCCCTGTCCACTTACAGTTATGACCATCCCTGTCCACTTACAGTTATGACCATCCCTGTCCACTTACAGTTATGACCATCCCTGTCCACTTACAGTTATGACCATCCCTGTCCACTTACAGTTATGACCACAGCCCAATCACCCAAATCTAACATGCAAAAAGAAGACATTAGCCAAGGAATAAGACACTAATGTGAGCAAGCCAAATCATGCAACCCACCTTTAGCAACTGAAAAATAAAATTTGGTATTTTAAAGTGGCTGCTAAACCTGGGTCAAAAAATTGAAAGAATTGTCTATTTGTGTACACAGTAACAAGAACAACACAATGTCTGAGCACCCTAAGTTTGGCTGGCTCTTAACAGTTGGTCCTTCATTAAAATCTTGAAACTAGTTTACATCTTATTAAACTTAAGCATGCAAAATGTAACAGTTGCTTATTAAAATGAGTAGGTTTTGTAGCTGTGAACTTAGTTCTCCAACAAATATGTAGATATTAATATAATTTAAAAAAAAAAGTTTTCCCTAAAGTAAAAAGTTATATTTAATCAGTGACTGAATTCAAGATTAAAATATTTTAAGGAATAAATTTGTTCTCTCAATAATAATGAAACTCAGCACAAACTTGTACCCAGCAACAACACAGTTCTAGGATCCAATGGACCAACTCAACAGCTGAGTGGTGTGACCCTCAATGGACCAACAGCTGAGTGGTGTGACCCTCAATGGACCAACAGCTGAGTGGTGTGACCCTCAATGGACCAACTCAACAGCTGTGTGGTGTGACCCTCAATGGACCAACTCAACAGCTGAGTGGTGTGACCCTCAATGGACCAACAGTTGAGTGGTGTGACCCTCAATGGACCAACTCAACAGCTGAGTGGTGTGACCCTCAATGGACCAACAGCTGAGTGGTGTGACCCTCAATGGACCAACAGTTGAGTGGTGTGACCCTCAATGGACCAACTCAACAGCTGAGTGGTGTGACCCTCAATGGACCAACAGCTGAGTGGTGTGACCCTCAATGGACCAACTCAACAGCTGAGTGGTGTGACCCTCAATGGACCAACTCAACAGCTGAGTGGTGTGACCCTCAATGGACCAACTCAACAGCTGAGTGGTGTGACCCTCAATGGACCAACTCAACAGCTGAGTGGTGTGACCCTCAATGGACCAACTCAACAGTTGAGTGGTGTGACCCTCAATGGACCAACAGCTGAGTGGTGTGACCCTCAATGGACCAACAGCTGAGTGGTGTGACCCTCAATGGACCAACTCAACAGCTGAGTGGTGTGACCCTCAATGGACCAACAGCTGAGTGGTGTGACCCTCAATGGACCAACTCAACAGCTGAGTGGTGTGACCCTCAATGGACCAACTCAACAGCTGAGTGGTGTGACCCTCAATGGACCAACAGCTGAGTGGTGTGACCCTCAATGGACCAACAGTTGAGTGGTGTGACCCTCAATGGACCAACAGCTGAGTGGTGTGACCCTCAATGGACCAACTCAACAGTTGAGTGGTGTGACCCTCAATGGACCAACAGCTGAGTGGTGTGACCCTCAATGGACCAACTCAACAGCTGAGTGGTGTGACCCTCAATGGACCAACTCAACAGCTGAGTGGTGTGACCCTCAATGGACCAACTCAACAGCTGAGTGGTGTGACCCTCAATGGACCAACAGCTGAGTGGTGTGACCCTCAATGGACCAACAGCTGAGTGGTGTGACCCTCAATGGACCAACAGCTGAGTGGTGTGACCCTCAATGGACCAACAGCTGAGTGGTGTGACCCTCAATGGACCAACTCAACAGCTGAGTGGTGTGACCCTCAATGGACCAACTCAACAGCTGAGTGGTGTGACCCTCAATGGACCAACTCAACAGTTGAGTGGTGTGACCCTCAATGGACCAACAGTTGAGTGGTGTGACCCTCAATGGACCAACAGCTGAGTGGTGTGACCCTCAATGGACCAACTCAACAGCTGAGTGGTGTGACCCTCAATGGACCAACTCAACAGTTGAGTGGTGTGACCCTCAATGGACCAACAGCTGAGTGGTGTGACCCTCAATGGACCAACTCAACAGCTGAGTGGTGTGACCCTCAATGGACCAACAGCTGAGTGGTGTGACCCTCAATGGACCAACAGCTGAGTGGTGTGACCCTCAATGGACCAACAGCTGAGTGGTGTGACCCTCAATGGACCAACAGTTGAGTGGTGTGACCCTCAATGGACCAACTCAACAGCTGAGTGGTGTGACCCTCAATGGCCCAACTCAACAGCTGAGTGGTGTGACCCTCAATGGACCAACAGCTGAGTGGTGTGACCCTCAATGGACCAACTCAACAGCTGTGTGGTGTGACCCTCAATGGACCAACTCAACAGCTGTGTGGTGTGACCCTCAATGGACCAACTCAACAGCTGAGTGGTGTGACCCTCAATGGACCAACTCAACAGCTGAGTGGTGTGACCCTCAATGGACCAACTCAACAGCTGAGTGGTGTGACCCTCAATGGACCAACAGCTGAGTGGTGTGACCCTCAATGGACCAACTCAACAGCTGAGTGGTGTGACCCTCAATGGACCAACAGCTGAGTGGTGTGACCCTCAATGGACCAACTCAACAGCTGAGTGGTGTGACCCTCAATGGACCAACAGCTGAGTGGTGTGACCCTCAATGGACCAACAGCTGAGTGGTGTGACCCTCAATGGACCAACTCAACAGCTGAGTGGTGTGACCCTCAATGGACCAACTCAACAGTTGAGTGGTGTGACCCTCAATGGACCAACAGCTGAGTGGTGTGACCCTCAATGGACCAACTCAACAGCTGAGTGGTGTGACCCTCAATGGACCAACAGCTGAGTGGTGTGACCCTCAATGGACCAACAGCTGAGTGGTGTGACCCTCAATGGACCAACAGTTGAGTGGTGTGACCCTCAATGGACCAACTCAACAGCTGAGTGGTGTGACCCTCAATGGCCCAACTCAACAGCTGAGTGGTGTGACCCTCAATGGACCAACAGCTGAGTGGTGTGACCCTCAATGGACCAACTCAACAGCTGTGTGGTGTGACCCTCAATGGACCAACTCAA